AATCCTGTAAACGTAAACAGAATATTTTATATAGATTTTTTTTAATGAAAACTTAAAATCCTGCATTATTTTCCGGACAACCCGATAGTAAGATATTGTTTTTTGTTTAGATGTTTGATTTTGAAGGGGTGGGGAAGGAAATAGGGATAGGAATCATTTTTCTATGAGGAGGTCGGCTTCTTTAAGGTGAAAGGGACCGCCAATGGATAAAAAGGGGTAATGGTTTGTCAATCGGGCCTAGTTAGCCTTACAAGATTATTATAGACAGGATTATTAGGGAAAGGAGAGAAAATTGTTGGGGATTTAGACTATGTAGAATTGTTTGATGTGTGGAGTGTAATGATTGTTTTACATGTTGTATTGTATGTTATTGATACAGAATTTGATTAATGACATGAGCGTAGTGTAATATCCCTTATTCCAATTATTCCTAAATATTTTATTTTAAAAGCTTTCCCCCTTGTACCGACTTCCCAAGATAAGACTTTACCAACACCCTTCTCTCCCACCATTGTTAAATTCCTCCTAGACCTACCACCAGGGTATAATAGGACTGATTGTAATATTTGACGAGTCTGTTTCCCGTAAGCCCTCCACTCCTGTAGCTATTAATTTTTTAATATAGAAGTTAATTTTTCCTCTGCCCATGTAAGACTACTTCTACCCCAGTCTCCACCCCATAATCCTGACGTTGGTTGGTTATCACAGTAGCTATAGCTGAGTTTGTGTCTGTTCTGTTATTGATGCTGTGTTTAATTCTGTTTCTGTCTCTAAACCTCTATATATATTACACAGGGCGGGTGACCAAGACCTGAAGGATTAAATGCCTGGGTAGACTCGTACCCCATCCCTAAAGAGTCCGGGTCTTGGTCTGTTAACGTGTCCTGCATAAACCTCTTGGACTTGTTCACAAACCCCAAGATTTTGGACCAGTTTATCTCGGGGAGTGATTTGGTAATGTCCTCTCCTTCAAAAGTTTCGAATCTATACCTGGCGTACCTATCACACTCTGCGAGGTAGTGCCTTGCCGTTTCTTCTTTTATTTCGCAAAAACGAAAGGGATCTGGTAGAATACCCATTACGAAGAGATGTCTTCTCAGTGGGCAGTGGCCCGTCAGAATACCTATCAGCTTCCTAATTCCCGTCCTTGAGATAGAAATAGCCATTTTGATTCTGCTGGTTTGATCGCCTTAACAAACTCTTTCGATTGTCTGTGTCCGGGGGATAACTTCCACTCCCTAAGGAATTGTTTCATGCCCCAGTTATTAATACTCTCTTTCGCTGTGCTCATAGAGTGAGGTAATACCAGTTGTGGCCTGACAAACGCAGTATTAGAACCTTTTTTGGCTAGGCCATCCGCCTTTTCATTGTCTATACTTGGTAAACAATTGTCCATATCCCCTTAGGGATGGAATTTGAAAAAATCCTTTCTTAGCGGATATCTATGTCATTATAGGGTTGCACCACGCAAGTACCTCTAAACCTCTAATAAGTTACATTTATGTTAAATAATCATTACATACACATTATACAATAAAACCTCATGCTAATGAACAGTCATCGTATCACTACTTTTGTCCTCATGAGAAACGTTTCTGTTGTAATGAACTTTATCGTTTCATAACTTATGGTTTTTAAATCAGGCCAAGCACAAAGGGTGGATTCTGAGGGTAAAACCTGTTCTGTATAGATTTAGATTAAGGTCTTTACTCGTTGAATGTGCTGTGTAGACTTACCCAAATGCAGATTCTCCTCCAGTTCCGATACCAGTCGGGTCTCCGGTTTGTGCGATGAAGTTGGCCTGGATCGAATGGAAAAGGCAGAAGTTGTAGTATTTTACTTTGCACAGCTTGAGGAAGTTCTTGCATGCTGCAAACAAATAGAACGGACGGTCAGGTGGATTAAATTAAAAGAAAGAAGGCAGGACTTACTTTGTGGTCTTTCATCTGTATACAGATCGACCGTGATGTCACCCAACGTCGTTTCAATAACAACAGCCATATCGAAAACTTTTTTCGTTAGCCCATATTTTGAAAGAAAAACACTCGCCTTCCTAATGAATCAAGTCGAACGGATTCGGAGCCCAATAGGTCTTGAGGCCGTCTCGCACACATCGGACCTAAAGGAGAATCGGAAGAACGTGATTTTTTTTCTTTTCTCAAACGGCTGAAACGGTTTGTAGTGTGCGTGAAAGTCTTGGACACTTTCACCGTGTTAACCAATTCTCGAACAAGGCGGATAAATGCCGAAATACTAAAAACCTACCCCGGATTAAAAAGAAAGCAGGATTTAAAAGCGATATAGGTTTAGGGCCGAACGCAAGAGCATCCCTGGAAAAGAGGACGTCACTCCTTACTATGTCAAAATGCAAACATATGTTTTACACTGGTCAAACTTCATTCTGATGTATAGTTTTCCCTTCTTCCCCTCCGGCTCATGTGCTACTGGAGTCGTTACTGTGAATGTGATTATATAACAGGCCCCTGTCGACCATGTCATGTCAATGATTCGATCATTAATATCGATCTTTTTTAATAGAAATTTTCCCGTCCTTGTCACAGCAAAAGAACTTGAAAACATTTTAAAACAACAAAAAATTTATTTTATCTAGTTAATCACCTGGTACTTTTTTCTGTAAGCTAATAATTTTAATTTGTAATTTTAAAGTAATGATTTCACATCAAAACTAACATGTATGTTTTTGTGTTATCATTTTAAAAATAGACCACCCAATCTAAATATGAATTGGTAAATCTGCCAATTATGTGATATACCTCTTTTTGTGTAGCTTGATGATTAGAGACCTTATACAATATATCAAAAATTATCCATTTAGGTCACAACAGATATATTTTATTTGAGTAATTCCTGTCATGCAGTAGGGTATGTCAAACTACCTGTTGATTGTCATGAACCACTTTGCAATAACTCAAATAAAATTTCAATGGGATTTTACGAAACCTACAAAGAATAGCCTTTTCTCAAGAACACCCTCACTTGCAATAGAATATATTCTCAAGCTGCCACCCTTAGGTTTTGTTTGCCCTTGAAAGAGTTTTACTAATGTGGTTTGAAAGTTTATCTGGGTATTAACAATGATGCAAAGATCTTCAACAGTTTCAGGTACAGTTAGGGATAAGTCTGATATAGTGTTTTTTTTTTCGACCGGCCAACTATTAGGTCATTGCCGGCACCTCACTTATATACGTTTCTCGCATTTTTCTTTGTTTCATTTCAACTTCACTATATCTCTTCTTTTAATTTTGTTTCCTGCCGACCAAACAGAGGATGGTTTTGTTGCTCGTTCCTACCATCCCACACGTGATTTATTAAAAATACTTCAATACTTACAGACTCATTAACAATACCCACTCACACTAAGAAAATGATTACCTAATCTACAGTTGGCAGGGCTCAGAGTACAGGTACACGACTGAGGTCCTGCCCCTACAACTATGTTTGTCCCTACTAAAAAGTCGGTAATACATAACCCTACCAACTTCCTGCTCATGCTAATAAATACATTCATACAGTATGTACAGAAATTCATTCATCCATTAGACTAATTTCCTTTTGACAGGCTTGTGGAGTACTCGATATTCCTCGACATCCACGTCCATTTATACAAAACATCCACGCTAAGAAATACATTTATATTGGAGAGGTCGCAGCATCTCGGTAGTATTACTACAATCTTGTTAGCAGTGACCTGTCTCTCACATCACACAACACATATATAAATACCTAAACTAATTTGGCGGGCCGTGAGCTACTCGATATTCAGTCACAGCCACATCCAGACATACCGCATCACCCATGCTAATAAATATATTAACACTGCAAAATGGAGATATACCATGTATGGTTGATTATATGTATCCATACGCATTTATCAATTTTAAGTACCTAATAAGATTATCTTTGAAGTCACTGTTATGCTTAAGAACTATTTCTAGATTAGATGGTAGGTCACACCATTCTCAGTACTCTCTTAACTTATCACATTCCTCTAATAGGTGTCTCACCGTTACCAGGTTTCCACAGAGTAGGCAGCGTTTTTGACTTCTACCCACTAAGAGGTGACCGTGTGTGAGACGGGTGTGACCTATTTGCAACCTTGTTAATATTTTACAATTATTACAATTAAGTGAGTTTTTTTTTGTTGAGGTAAAAAGTCAATGGCACGAGTGGGATTCGAACCCACAATCTTCGGCTTGATACGCCGCTGCTCTATCACTTGAACTATCGTGACCTCGATCCACTCGGACACCAACTTCCCATCTCAACCGCACCTTTTGAATTTTCCCTCCTTCGAGGGCCATGATAGCTCAAGTGGTAGAGCAGCGGCGTATCAAGCCAAAGATAGTGGGTTCGAATCCCGGTCGTGCCATTGACTTTTTTATCTCAACAAAAAAAACCTCAATTAATTGTAATAATTGTAATATATTAATTGGTCAAGCAGACCACGAAATTAGTGAATCTTGTTAATATTATTTTACATTTTTCCAAATTCTCCATGGGCCATGGCCTCGTGTATTTTTAGTTTTTATATAACATTATTTTACGGAAATGAAAGATATTGAATTACAAGGAAAGAAATGTTAGCTTTGTTGCCGAGGCTAGACAATTTACAAATTATATTTTAAAAACAAATAATGGATCAATTACACAATACAAAAATAAACTTTATTCCTCATTAAATCATATAGAAAGGTATCAACACAAGGTTTATTTTTGGATCTGCCCAATAGTAATAGCAGCTAATCAATTAACCATATTAAAATGGCACTTGTTAAAGATTATAATTGTTTTGATGTTTTTAAATCAGACAAAAAGCTTGGAAAAGCAGCATATGGGTCGTGGTCAAAATGGTCAATTCAGTTCGAGCTGGAAGAAATGCCACGGTGCCAGGATGGATATCAAGTTGAGGACAGTTTCCTGTACCTTGTACGATGACAATAATGGAGCAACTTTGATTCGACTTGACCACATGTTCTTTGCTAGGGGGGGCCTAAAACAAAATAAAAATGGGATATTACAATTTAGATTTTCCAAGTTTTCCTCCAGTAACAGCAATTACGTTAATAAAAAATAATAATAATCCCCCTGCACATAAGTGTAAATATTTAAATTTGATAATTAAGGCACACTTACAAAAATTCTGGTGATTGAAAATTCCTTTACAGGTGGTTTGTAAACAGTGCAGTATTCATCTATCCTCTTTCCCTTGAACATCATTTCGCTGGCAGTTGATGATTTGTAATTTAGCATCATACATAGGGTATCAACATCACGGTATTTTGTAGTGAGTCCAGCTCTCACAACATTGTCCGAGCAGGCCATTATTTCAACACAGTCTAAAACATGATCCAAATCTCATTTTGAGAAACAAATTTATGAATAAAATGCCGAGAAAGATATATTTCCTTATATTTTATAGAACTTGAATATTTATTTTAATAAAACAAATATAATAGAAGGGTGTCACTCCTGTGCTACATGTCACCTGATATAAGAATAGCGCTTGAGCACAGCAACAAGTATTTTGATCCCATATTCCAATTTTTGGAGGAAGCAGGGCTGTTTTATTGTATATGACATCTTGTTTGGAGTTCCCTTTTGGGTTTATTGAGGTTGAAAATATACATCGTAAAAGTGTAGCAAAAGGTGGATTGTGCACCCCATCACTCTCAATTATATTAGTTATGTACAAAGGGTGGTGAAGGAATAATCAAGTCCCACTACCCTACTTGAGTGAATGGTATGTAAGTAGGAAAAAATATTTTAAAAATGAATGAGAGTGGGAGAGTATCTAGGTTTAAATATTGCATGATTGGAGCTGAAGTAATCTAGGTGTTGTCAGTGTCTGGAACACTTCAACAACAGAGCAGATAAGAAGGAAGATCTACTAAGGACTGTCAAGACCTGAAGTAGACGATTCTTGGGGATTATAAGAAGTCTCAAGTTCAATTCTGCACTCCTATCTATACACATAACAATCAAATAATATAATTTCTCGGTTTGATAGAAAAATTTTTAAAAACAAAAGAAAAAGGATAATGTTATGACCTCAACTAGATCTCCTCTTTTCTTTTATACTAAATTTGGGTTGATATTCCTTCAAAATATAATTTTTAAATAATTGTGCATATTGTAAATACAAATTTTTGCTTAAATTATTAAGCATAACAGTAAAAAGTTTAATAAAAGAATATAGCATGTAACGTATTAATTGTCAAATTTGAGTATAGTCATATCTTATACACACTAATAACACACAATTTAATATGTAAAGTAATTTTCACCCACTTCCTTTGAGGTATGCATGTGGTACATTGGCATCAATGAAAACTGCTTCTCCGGGTTTCAGTTTAATGTAGTTCATAAAGTAAATTGAGAAAATCCCTACATCCATTGGGTGTTGTTCCTGAAGCATTTCAAGTATAGGGTACAACTGTGCATCTCTAATTTCATCGACTGTACATCAAATACGAAAGAATTACATCATTTTAGCTCACAATAGTAACAGTATTTTTACCTGATGTTTTGAGACGGTTCATAAGATTTGTAAGTGACCCTCGGACACTATATTCCGAAGCAGTCATTAATGATGTAAACACCGCTTGGAGCGATGATGGATTTGCGTTTCTTATAAAGCCCTGGTACACATTGATTGGGATGATATCTTGCAGTTCATGAATGACTAATTAAATCAAAATTTTGTAAATATTCAATTTTTGGTATTTAAACAATAGGGGGAGTTTACGCTTTAAAAAATTTTTTATCTCCTCCAAAGGTCTGAATCCACAGAGTACTTCAAAGTCGTCCACTGCAATTGCTAATTCTGGCTTGTGGTTTGCATCCCTGTAAATCAATGGGTTCTGTTCATGAAGTACAGCAGCCAACTCCTGAAAATTTTAAAAAGAATGTTACATACCACTAACCCTCTGGTCAGCACTGCACCCGGAGGGCACACGCTATGAGAAGCCAACCAACACAAGCACTCAATACGAGGGATTAAGGGGCAAGGAGGTCTCAAGGCCATTGTTGTTTAATGCAACATGGAAATTTCCCAGCATGGGAAATAGTAGATAAGACTTGGACAGTAGGATTAGGATGGATCGAAAGCTTGGTGAGAAATGTTGCATGCAATCCAATGATCAGTTTGTTGTCAAAAGGAAAGATGAAGTCGTTGTGAATAATGAGGCTGGTGATGTAGCAACGAGCTTTGACAATGTGACTTTTGATTGGAAGGATTGGATATTGGATTGGGCAGAACCCCACAGTTCTACTCCCTTATATCCAAAGTGGTTACACTAATGTCACATATAGAGGTAGTTCAGTTTTGAAGGTCAAAAGATTTTGGTCCTACAAGTCTTCATAGTTGTCTACGTCTTCTGTAAGTTGTTGTCTCTTAAGTCTTGTGTTGCCAGTCTGCTGTTTAGGCATAGTCCAAAGTTTCTGACTTGGATAGATCAGTATCTTTTTTCCTATCTGGTTATGTATAGTGGAAGGCAAGACTTTTTTCAATGTGAACTTACACTGAGTACTTTGTTCTCCATTCAATCAATTTGTCCTGAGGACTTTTGATTGAAAGGATTGGATGGGCTGAATGTTGGATGGCTTGGCAGAACCCCACAGTTCCAGTATATATTCCAAAATTGGTCACAGTACAGTCTTCTCTAAGAAGTTTAGTTTTGACGGTCAAGACAAGATTCCAGTCCTAGAAGTTTTCATAGTTGACCTATTTATGTTATACAAATTTATGGTATATAAATGGAAGAATGCATTTTGGACAATATGATGGATCAACTTATCTCATTGGATTGATTATCGTGACCTCGATCCACTCGAAAAATGGCAAAAGGAGGGAAAACTCATAAGGTGGGGTTGAGATGGGGAGTTGATGTCCGAGTGGATCGAGGTCACGATAGCTCAGGTGGTAGAGCAGCGGCATATCAAGCCGAAGGTCGTGGGCTCGAATCACTCTCATGCCATTAACGTTTTTTCATCTCAACTAAAAACCTTAATTAATTGTTATCTCATTGGTTTTATTTTATAATTAAGCATTTAAGTTTGTGCTTGGGTGCTAGACCCTATCAAATCTCAGTTTAAAATTTTTTTTTATGCATTTAATTACTACTTAAATACTTTAAGTAAACAATAAACAATTTTATTTATGTTTAGGAAGCTGTAGCTAAGTAGTAAGGGCATTTGACTTGTATTTACCATCCTTGTAGTTTGGGGTTCGAATCTCAACATAGCCCTTGGGACTATTACTGATAAGTACTGAGATGGTGATTCATCACTAAAAAGCCAAGGTTCAAATCTCAGCAGTTCTGAATTGGCCCAAATGGAATCTTTTAGAAGGAAAATACTGGAATTCAAGAGTTTGATATGAATCACCCTCAATAGCATCTTACAAATGGACACCATCAAGCCAATCACTACTGCAAAAAAGCTTTACCCCCAAATCTTGGTTCTGTCCAGGTGTGACTGATTCAAAGATCAAGATATTTGATCTTGGGAAAAAGAAATCAAAAGTTGATAATTTCCCCCTTGATCTTGTCTTTGATGAGTTTGAACAACTTTCATCTAAGCTAGACATATCTGCACGAATAAAAATCTTGTGAAGAACTGTGACAAGGACCGGTTCCACATCAGGATGTGGTCCATCCATTCCATGTCATCATAATAAACAAAATTCCAGACTGAATGAGAGGTACTTTTGGCATGCCCCAAGGTCGGATGTGTATACATTTGACAGCTTATTATAAGTATTAGGTCATCTGACCAAAACCTGCAGCAGTTGAATCGTTGAGGAGACCCAAGTTAAAATTCTCCAGAAAGAAGATGAGAAAAACTGTTTCCAAGAATTGGGGGTTCACAAAATTCAGCCGTGAAGAATTGAGATCGATGGAAGCATCGAAAATGATGGCTGCAATGACAAGTACATTGCCTTCGCACAGACCACTTGATACATGGAGAAAGGTTCAGACCAAGGAGTTTGCTCAAGGCATGCAATTGTTTATTTTATTAGCCTCAACTAGGTGCAACAGAAGCTTAATAGGATTTGATCATAAAGTTGCAGGTTAAAAATGTTCATTCCAAACTAAGTATTAAGGCTGATAGCACTTTAATTTGGTACATCTGCAACTTCCAGCTGCAGTGGCCAACTCTACTGTCCATAGTGGCATAAGACTCAAAACCTGATCAACTAGGCGCTACAGAAGCTTAATAGGATTTGATCATAAAGTTGCAAGTTAAAAATGTTCATCCCAAACTAAGTGTGATGAGCGGTTTCCCTTTTTCCGTGCGCGCGGCTCGCGGCTCGTTCAAATACCGTCTCTCACTAGGTTGCTCCGAGAGGGTAGCGAGCTACTCCACTCTCGGCCCATCAAGCCTTTTAGGGGTAAGATTTGTCAGGTTGCTCGGCTTGATGGGTGAACACCCTTTACTTATTTACTACTAACTCTGGACAAGGAGGTTTGGGGGAAAGATACACCAATTCAGACAGGACAACCAGGTCCCTTTATTTGATATGACTGTACAATTCCCAATATGTATAATCAACTAGTGAATAACGCCCTAACCCTTCTTATAAATAGCAACCCTTATTTCCTATTAAACAATTCATATGCAAAACTTATTACTGGAAGACTAATTCTAAATAGAACTAATGCTCTTACTCTCTATAACGAAACCTTAATACTAGGGGCTTAGTTATTGGGATCGTAGTACTAAAAGTAGCCCGAAATCGCCCAACTGTTCTCCAAATCTCCCGCAAACCAATTGACAAAATTTGTACTCACAGGACTGGAATACGTGCATCGGTTTTGTCGGTTCGGTGGTACGGATCTTGCGAACTACGCTGACTAATCTTCCACACCAGTTCCCCTTTTGACTCCGTTTGACAGACTCACTCGTCGTCTCCACGGGACACTCTGAATGACTCAACTGCGGACTCCACCCGGATTCTCTCTTCGGACTCCACTCTCTGATTGTCCTTTTTATATCAATCCATTCAGGGAGGAGGTGGGGAACAGTTGCATTTCGAAAATACTGCTATGCTTCCGGGTGACCCGACTGCCCTTTGTCCTCTCCAGGTCATTGAGCTATTTCGGATGAGTCCGGGCATCAGCTAATCCTGAGGGTTGAGCAATAAGGCCACTCGTCAGCACAACAGCCAATTTTTTTAGGGTGATTGCCCCGGGATCGACCCACGTTTCTCAATCGAAAACGTCCAGCTGTCATTATGTTGCCAGCTTTTTTCTTTTTTAGCTGTGTCTGGAGTTCTCAAGAAGGACCGGGTCGGCTCCCGCGATTCCAGGCCACCTCCGGTTACTCTCCCTGACACAATACGCTTTCCCAACAATTAGCTAACCTATTTTAATATTTATAACAAACTTAAATTTTTACAACCCCGTTTAGGATTCCCTTCTGGGGATCTTTACACTAAGTATTAAGGCTGACTGCACTTCAATTTGGTACATCTGCAACTTCCAGCTGCAGCGGCCTAAACTCTACTGTCAACAGTGGCCTAAGACTGAAAACCTGATCAGCTCTCCTATCAATACATGTTCCACAAACTCACAGTCCATTCCACCAACAAGAAGTACTCGTTGGCTGAAAATGAAAAGGCACCTATGGCCGTAATTAAACTGTCTCAAAGACTAAACAATGAGTTGTTGAGAAAACCCTTGGGTCAAGTATTCTTTGTGCAATATTATATTACAAACCTGTACATCCTGCAGTATATTGTGTGCAGTGAAAAGAAAAAGTAATAATAATGTAATATTACCAAAATTTCAACCTAATCACAACGTTCATTAAATCCAACAAGTACTGAGTATGTTAGTGCTATGATTCCAAATAAAACCAATAATGAAGATTGAAAAGTAGAGTTAGATCATTCCAGCTGGAAAAGTCCTTTTTTATATACTCCTTAATGTTATTTATTAATTACTAGTAAGATTATCAAGTGTCATGAGTAGCTATAGTTTATTTTAAAACATCTTAGTGTTACCTTATCAGGATGAGCTTGAATAGACAAAGCTTTGCGTATGGATAGGACTTTGAGAAGAAACGGAAGGTCATCGTCCAAAACGCTACCGAGGGCTCTTGGGTTCCTCTTCAGATAGCTATGTAGTGTCTCCCCAGTTGAGAGCATGCATGATTCCCCCTTGGCATGTGTACCTATCCATAATTCAGCGTAAGGGATGTTTTCATCCAATTTAAAGTTCTTATTAGAGGAGAGCAAACGTGAGACAAGGCTGGAACTTCCCAGTTTGCCCCAGTCATACAATTGCGCCACACAAGCCAACTCCATTGTATGCAGCCTTGTGTAATCTTGCTAACTATCTTTCATTTCTACTTTCCAGATATACTGATAAATGTATTGACAAATGTCACTTTTGACGTTTATACTCTGAGGAGGTTATCATTGTTAATTGGCCAAAGTACAATTTCCTGAATTTCCCTTTAAAATTGACAATTTTCTCTTTCTTTCAAATTTAAATTTTCACAAAAATTCACTTTGTTTTTAAAAATTCAGATACTATAGCTGCCTTAAAATGTAATAAAATGCAATTAACAATATATACATATAATTTGTCAACTACTGAACCCCAAAGAAATATTAATTCTTTAATAATCTTCAATAAATTTAAATTACATACGATTGATTATAAAATTGGTTATAAATTCAATGGAAAACAGGAAAACCAATGCTTAATAGTTCAAATTGGTAAATATGCCAAAACAATCTTATTAATTGCAAATGAACCATTTTTCAACATTTATTATTTGTTATTTTAAGTAAAAAGATATATACTTTTAATAATAATATATTTTACGGAATTAATCCAATTTACAAAAATGTTTAAATATAGAAATATACAATATATAAAGTATAACAATATAAATGAAAATATATGTAAAGGTAAATATAATGTATGTATAAAATCTGCTGAAGTTCGTTGCAAAAAAGCAAAACTACTTCAACTATAACAAAATAAAATAACATTGAATTTTAAAATAAAATGTTTACAACAAAAAAAGGAAAATTAATATAATACCGCACCAGAAAAAAATCAAGAGATAATTTCCAGGGGAAAGCTAAATAAAAGAACAGCAAGACGGGTGGTTAAAAAGTGTGAGGCAAAATGCATTAACAAATAAAATGATAATTTGTACTAAGAAAAAAATGAGCAAGTCCTAGTTAGACATAAATAAATTCTGACTAAAGAAAAAAAATAGTGAAATTATAAACAAAATATTAAAAAAATCAATTAGCATTAAATTTTAAATAAGGAAGAAAATTCAAATTAACACAATCACCTTAAAAATCAGAAGAAAATATAATTTAGCCAATTAGAAGAAATAATCTACAAATGATGATACAGACAAATTTGAAATTTTGTGTGAAAAGTGAAATCATTTAAAAACATTACTGATTAAGAGATAATTTCGAGGAGAAAGCTAAATTAAAGACCAGTAAGACTAGAGCAATGTAATACCATCAAAATGGATTAATAAATAGAATTTGGAGAATTTAAAAACACGAGTCTAAAAACACTAAATTTAAACTTAAAAATTGGATTACTGTACCAATTTGTATCTGTAATTCCAGGCATTGAGGGTATATTGAATTAATTCTTAAAGATTTATCGTACTGTTCAAAGAATTAATTAAAAACATTTTTGTGAGTGAAAAATAGCCAAATAGTGATGATGAATTTTACCCACTCTCTTGAAAAATGGCTCACATATTTGATATCTAAATTTGCAGAGAGCAGTATTCAGCCACAGCCGAATTCAGATGCAGTAATTCACACTGCATTTTTAACACAACAGTAGAGATTCTTTAGGGGGCACTCTTTGAAATTATCTTCATTAACATCAAATAGAATGACTTGGTGATTGAGTTATTTTCATAGAGTTATGGGTGTAGAGAAATGAAATTTAAGAAAACAATTGTTTCTACACTGGTGTGTTATTTATTTTTTGTAAGAGCAGAAAAGTTAACTTCTTCATTCTGAGATATTTTGTAAAGAAGGGAAAAACAGTAAATCATATTTCAGAAAAAGGATGTGCCATTGAGCAAACCAAGGCAATTCTCAATAATGGACAAAGCCGTAAACCTGGAGAGATTTACAACAGTGTACATAGGATATTTAATAAAATTGATATAATGAAAGGTTCAAAGGTGTTTTTATTCGGAAAGTCTTTCAATACCATCAACCACACCTATTACTTGATTTTTATGGAGACTTCCTGTGACCATTTTATTTACACTCTAAAGTTAAACTTTTCATTTGTTTTTAAATCTTAATCTTTAAATGCAGGACTCTGTTTTAATGTACCTTTCTAATGAAATGCAGAGTGCTAGTATAGCTTTCTAATATAATGACTCGTTTCACAAATTCTTCTCTTCTTCAGTTCACTCAGTCTATTCATGGTAAAAAATTGTCCCCTTAGGGTAGGAATTTAAAAAATACTTTCTTTGCAGCTATTCATTTCATTAAAGTAATGCACTGTCGACATTTCAGCCCTTAGATCCAGCAAATTAATAGAGATGATGAATGGTGGAGTGAGTGCAGTGTTCAATCCTTTTAAAAAGATAGTTCCTATTCACAGTAAGTTGTTTTCAACAATCCGGATTTTGAGCATCATCAGGTTGAAGGAGTTCTACAACCACATCTCTCGACATGAATTGTAAAAGTATATCTTTTACAATTTATGTCGAGAGACGTGGCTTTAGAACTCCTTCAACCTGATGATGAGCTATAAGCTCGAATTCCAGATTGTTGAAAACAACTTACTGGGAGTAGGAACAATCTTTTTAGAAGGACTTAGATCCAGCGGTTTGGATTGTGCATGTCTGTTAGTCAGTAACAGAACTGTTCATATGCATAGGGATGCAACTTCAAAAAATCCTTTCTTAGCAGCTATCCATGTCATTATAGGAATGCACTGTCGAAATTTCAGCCCTTTAGACCCAGCAGTTTGGTCTATGCCTTTCTGTCAGTCTGTCTTGGAACTGTTTTATATATACGATTATAGATATGATTTATTGTCAAAGAAAAGCACTGTTAAAACAATGTTTCCTTTATATTTCCTTTCTGTGTATGCAAGTTTAAGATTTGTTAAATATTAAAAAAAGTATTACTTAAGCTGTTAACTATTAATTATTTAAGAAATTTAGTCTTGAATTTATTGTTACTTCTCTTTACTACTACTTTAACATTATATCTATCAACAGCATTAAACATTCAGTTTTGTACTTTTATATATTTCACATTTTTTAAATTCCCAGAATCTATGATAAGCCTGCATACATAGCCCGAAAATAAATAGTGAATTAAACAAATTGAAATTGGATTGTACATATTGGTAGAAGCGATGATAATTTTGGATACTGGGAGAAATAAAATGTCACTCCATTCGATTTCATAGATACATCCAAAAGGTCTACAGTGGGATAAGGATATGGATCGTTCATTTGAATAGTCAATGAATATCTCTTTCCATGTGCAAGGCTCATTGGCTGTTTGAAATTAATGTTGAACTTTTTTGAACTCTCGACAAATCCTATAAACTTTGCTTCTTCCATTATTTTCCAATAGAAGCTCTCATTATTTTCACAGTCCATCAATCTCATCACAACACTTTCTTTATATTTCTCACCATCTTTCCCAACTCGACAGAAAAACTGAAAACATTTTTCAATTAGCTAAAGCCGTGGAGAGAATTTAGAGCAGAACTGACCTGAACTCCAGTGATATTCAAATCATGATCAACAGTTAAAAACACAGCACAGTTAGTAACAGTGAATATAGTGTATTCAAAAGGGGTTTTACCCTTAAAACATGCCGTCATGAGATTTAACTCTCCAATAACTTCTCTACAAGTTGTTTTGAAGCCCTCGGGAAATGGAAACAATCGGTCTCTTGCAATTGCACTCAAAATCCCATTGAATTCTCTTTCAGTTAGAAAACCCGCTGAACCGGGGCCATCAATAAATTCATGAGGTGTCATATTTAAGAAGCAAAAGTTTTTCAGTACATCCTTTTGTGCATTTCTTCTCCATTCCTTGCCTAAAAAAAATTGTCACCCTTGTTATTACTGAATGTTATACTGATAACTGATTTATATAAACTCAATTCTGGATCTACATACATATGCATGTGTACAGAGCTAAGCCTATCACTGGCAATTCCAGCTTTTATGTATTTTACAAAAATTACTGGCAGGCCTCAAGAATCACCCACCCTAGATGTTGGAAATCCGGGTTCCAACCTTGGTCTTGTCTATCCCAGCACTGAGGTTGGGCTCCATGTGCTATCAGCCTAGGCCATTTCAGCCCCTAATGCAACCGGTTTGGAAATCCAAACCCACTCTCACTTATTCTTAAGTATGTAAAAAAGTAAAAAGTCATTAATGTCATACAAGAGGGCTTAATGTCAAACTACCCATTGGGTACGCATACGACGTTATAATACTTTCACCATATTATTCACAATTTAAAATCCATGGGCTAGCTAAGAAATCTGATTTGAACCCAGAATCACCAATATGGGAAATATGAGTTGGATGCTCTAACCGCTTGGCCACCACAGTCCCCTCTCTCTTAAATAAATTCTTTTCTATTTACATGCCATTCCTCAGTTAAGGAGGACCACCATTTACTTATTTTATAACTACACAAATTGTCAGATGGTTGGGTACTCAATATTCTGTAATCGGCCCTCTCACACTAAACATTCACACTAATAAATACATTCAGTCTCAACCAAAGAAATGCAAGACGAGATATCTATAAGTATTATATACAATTAAACATCACTGTTTCCTCTAAAAAACAAAACGGGGGACCCAGATACTTGCTGCCGTGCTTAAGCACATTTCTCATATTGGGTGGTATTCCTTGGAGTCAAGGAATGGCATTTTTCAATTAAGTGAGACACAAGCGAACTTTCTCTAAATACTGAATGGACCCATATGCATGTTTTTGCCCAAAAGTAAGAGTTCATTTGTTGACCATATATGACCTATTCTTAATTGGGTGAGGATGACCCCTCTTCTAAAAGTAAAATTCTCCGAGGTCCACTTATATCAGTGCTCTTGATATGTGAGAGTTCTCTGCTAATCCAGCCCACTGACCCTGCCACTTTTTTAAAATCATGTTTTTAAATATATTTTTAGGGTCAAAGGGCTGGTTTAGTCGGGAGGTTGGGAGCCTTAGCCATCTCGTATGCCTTTTACTGAATGTTATACCTTTGTGAACTTATTAATTTAGTAAATACTAAAAGCTAAAAATTAATAATATTATTTAAATATTTAATTTAAAAAATATATTAATATAAATAGAAAAAATTATTTAAAGTTTTTAAAATTAATTTTAGAATCCATTTTGGTGTCACAAATGATTGTACCTTCTTTAACTTCTTTGAACTCTAGCCATTTCTTTACAAGTAGAAAAAGATCCGTTTCTCTTACATCCAGTACTCTTTGTTCAAGTATGGTCAAGATATTATTAACTCCCAACATACCGAAATTCTTTTCACTAAGGATGTCTTTAACTTCAGTTTGTATTTTCTGAAAAGAACAATGTTAAGATTGGAGGGGAAAAAACCAAAAAAAAACATAATCTTGCCTTTGTACACATATTCAACAGGACTTCTAGATCATAAGATTGTGCAAAATAGTAAATATCAAAACAGTTAGTGTGATTCACTTCTTTTTTTATGAACTCTATACAATATTCTTCACAGTCGTAAATTAGAAATCTTTTTGCCAAACGTATCACCTCAAGGACTTTGGGCATGTTTTCAGTTTCAAGTGACTTACAATATAAAAACCTGAAAAGTTGACTATGAAATTTGTTCTAATAAATGGGTTGACCAACACTGACTTCAAAAATAGACCAAAAATGACTGGATTTGTTTCAGGTATTTTGAGTTCTAGAATCGGTCTTATAAATCCATTTTCATCTCTTTTCAAAAGCATTTCTTCAAAGACTTCACTTGAAATTATTAGAAGTAACTGGTGTGCTTCGAAGCTCTAATCAAATAAGATTCTTATAATTCAATTTCCTTATTTCTAAAGATTAATTATAATGTATAGTTTTGTAACCTTTGTAGATCTATTGTCGAAAACTGTTATTTTAATATCGGCCAAAAGTCCAGTGTGAAATAAGAAGGAAAGTTTACTGCCCCATGAAATGTTATTTTTTCTCCAACAGTAATTTTGCCTGCCAATGCTTACATGGGATTAAGTATATGTAATAAGTTGAATTTAAATCAGTACCTAATACTATCATCTGAAGTACATATTGCAGAAGGATGTATTGGAAAACTCATTTTAATGTGCTGAAGGAAATGGGCTTTAGAAACAAAATTGATTCAGACAAATTGGATTAAACGCTGGAAAAATAGCAAAATATGTGTAAATATTATTTTAGTCAAATGATGAGATAAAATTAATACATTAAACAATTTTATATAGTAAAATAAATATCAATTAATTTTCTATTGAAGATATTATTGTATGATTTTATTCAAAAATGATTGAAACTAAAAAATACAATCGAAAAATAACACGTGTCAATTTTTTGATTTTGGCATTTTCTATATTCTACCAGATGATCCTATTACTTATCTAACATATATATATTCTTACGTGTACCAAATTCCTAAAAACAAAAACTAAACTTCTGGGAATTTTTCAAAATAAGTTCACAATTTTGAGACTTTTAACAAATTAATTTGTCAGTTTAAAAAAAAAAATAAGTGTTTGAAATTTAATGTCAACTCAAAAAAGTGTAATTTTGATTAATAAAATTTATATCATATGGCTATATTAGAGGTCAAAGAGCAATACAAATACATAAAATTATGGATGTGCAAATGATTTATTGATCAAAACAAATTGATGAAATTGGCAGACTGGAGGGCTGGTTGTTGTACTTTGAAAATGAGAACTCCACTTCATTCGCAGTGACTTTTATCTTGTGAAGATCAACTGTTCTGCAAAGATTGCTTTCATTGAACTCAAGAGTTATAGAATGCCTTGTGTTTTGTTCAATCATAGCTTTTTCATCAAAATTGATATAAAAAGAGTCTGAAAATTGGACTTCGAGATTGTTTGTATACTCAGCTACATTTTTCCAATCCCAGAACTGCTCGCCGGCACACTGCATGATTCTCACTGTGGCTCTTTCTTTGTATTTCTCATTGTTGTTACCAATATGTGAAAGAAGCTTAAAAAATTAAATATATTTTTTGTCATTCCTTGGAATTTAAGAGTATTTACTTACCCGGACATTTTTTATATAAATGGTCTTGTCAACAGTGAAAAATATAGATGCAACTTTAATTGGCTCCGTTCGGTACTTAAACCTAGATGTTTCAAAGCTTAGTTCTTGATATGAATCTCTTATTTTTGTGCAGAAACCTGTTGGGTAAGGTTTGCTGTTCTTTTCCCCTGTGATGTTGCTAAAAACAGCAGCAAATTGCTTTTGGGTAAGCAGTCTACTCTTCCCAGGCCCTTCTGCAAACTGCTGGGCAGACATGTTGAGAAAACAAAACTTTTTAACTATAGTGTTGGTTAATTCTTCATCCAATTCTCCTGAAAAAATTGCATTCAAGTACTATTTAAATAAAGTATAAAATAATTAATACCTTTTGTTTCCCCTTTAAGCTCTAACCAGGCCATAACAGCTTTAAATAAATCATATTCTATAATATTTAACATGCTTTGGTCCAAAATCATTAAAATTGCTTCAGTATTCAATGTCGGTAAATTAGGTTTGCTTAATATCTCTTTGGTCTGTGTCTGGATTTTCTGTAAATAATATATCAATAACTAATAATTTAAAATATTTTGTATAACTCGCTTACATTTGTACAAAGAATATTAAGATACTCCATGTCATTATCTTCTGCAAATTTTTTAATCGTACAGCATGTAGATATGTTGATATTATCCTCTATGTAGTCCAAACAAATTTCCTTAAGATCAGTTAAAGAAAACTTATCAGCTATTTCATACATATTTATGCAATCTTTCAATGAACTTAAAGTCACTTCATTGCAATAGATGTAGCTAAAAAACAATCAAGTATGTATATATGTATCAAAAAATCAAGCTAAAAGAATTCAAGTATAAATTGAAAACTAACTTTAGTAATAGTTTACAAGCTTGTGGATCTGTACCATTCAAATTTATTTCAAAACCAGTCTTCCCTTTTTTTTTAAGGTTGCTCTCAAAGTAATCACTTGCCAGGACCAGGACAAATTGATGAGCGGGAAAGACCTGAAATATAAATTGAAAATATGAGCAACAAACATTTTTTGGAAATTTAAGAAAGGTAAACCTCAGTAGATCCATTTTTGCTTGCAATCAATGACACATCGGTAAAGAGTTTGTTCTTAAAAACATAATTGATTTTGTCTTCCCATGTTTTGAGTTCACTGCGCCACTCACTCATTGTTTTAAATCTTCTTTATCTTGACAATAGTTCAATGATTGATTTATGACACCAAGTTCACGTATTTCAAAGGTATCTTCCTTTTCTTAGTTACATCTGCACTGTGTTATGTTTAACTGGTTTTGTATTTTGAAATGTGTTTGTTACAGGTGGTTAAAACATCTCCTTTTGTTTAAATCAAACTTATTAATCATTTGATTGTACTAAATCTGGATTATTCTTAATGTCCCAATCCTGTCAAAGATAATTTATTGTGACATTTCCTCATGTGAACTGTGATAATTTGGTAGTTACATATCATCTTGGTCGCCTATCTTCATTGGGTTGGAATGTCGGACCAAAATGATAAGTAACTATCAAATTATATTACAATTAATTAAGGTTTTTAGTTGAGATAAAAAAGTCAATGGCACGAGCGGGATTCGAACCCACGATCTTCGGCTAGATTCGCCGCTGCTCTACCACTTGAGCTACCGTGACCTCGATCCACTCGGACACCAACTTCCCATCTCAACCCCACCTTTTTAATTTTCCCTCTTTTTTGCCATTTTTCAACTTTTTGACTTTTGACTTTTTTATCTCAACTAAAAACCTTAATTAATTGTAATATATTAATTGGTCAAGCGGACCATGAAATTAGTGAATTTAATATCAAATTATATATTAATTTATATTTCAAAATTTTAATTACATCTTGAAATTTTTTTTATATGTCGGTAAACATTTTTAATAGAACAATTCAAACAGTAATTTTTAGTCTTATCTAAACACTTAAAAAGAGAAACTAAACATATATATTTTTGTTAATAATGTATTTGTGCAAGGATTTACTGTAGAAAATATTTTTGGATCATAAACCATTCCCTTCAGAGTCATTACATTATTTACACTGCAAATTTAATGCTATAAATGTTGAAATACTGCCACAATACAAATAATTTCAATTTTAAACAATTTCCGTCATCATCAGTAAATTATTTAAAAAAGTGCTTAAATAAGCAAAAAAAAGCCAAAAAATACAATTGTTTAAAGAGAAAACATATGTAACTATTAAACTAAACGTAAGCAGTTTTTGTTATCCCTGACTTTCTTAAAGAACACATGATTATGACAAATAAGATAAAAAGTCAGAATATACTTACTGAATTAACCAATCTATATGTTAATGGTGAAAGAAATTATGTGATTTTGTTTATTTGTGTCAAGTAAAATGAAAGTGTTAATTTTGGTTGGATGCTGCAAAAAGAATCATATGATTTAATAGATGCACCCACTTTTAGCACTGTTTGCTTCAGTATTCATTTAGTTACGTTATTTTTGATAAAATGTTAATTTTTCTCTCAAATCAAACTAACAGTTCAGATTCGTATTATTATTTAAATACACATTGAACCCTGTAATAATAAATTTTAAAAAATGCATTTCTCTGTGGTCTAAGAAGCATTGAACTGCAGCTAAATCATCTAGGTCTATGTATGATACAATAGCTATGGAAGAACACAATATAAAATTCACCGAATTAATGCAGATCAAAATGAATCAGGAGGAAAAGTAGGAGGCCAAGGACCATTCAAGTATGGTAGGATTTGGATATGTTTATAAAAGGCTAAATAATGTCGATAAAATCTAAAATAAACAGCCAAGCAGAAAATGAAATCCTTAGGCTCTTCCACCCCCAATTCAAAGCTAGTCTGGGAATGCCTAAGATACCTCCAACTTCAGGGAATACATCTTATGACCCTGATGTTGGTACCAGAATGCATGGATATTGAATGTAACGAACTGCTGGCAAACTAGCAAGAGCAGCTCTTACACCTTTTGGATCAAAGTCGTAAATTGGCATGCTAAAAGTGGAACTGACTCAAAGGGATGGAGGGAAAAGAACACACACTGGATGAATTTTCCAGATGCAAAACAATCAAAGTTCCTCGAAAACAAAAATCTACCTCTCTCTCAGTAGGCAATAATAAAAGAAAATAATAGGCTTTTATACTGGCCGTTACCTGTACAATTTCCGCCTCAAAACAATTGTAAAACTGGGAGAGATACCAGCTTGAAGAGGCAGAAATCTTGTATAATGTCCTTTGTGGCTACAAAACATGGTGGAAATGGTACAGACCATTTGAATTGCAATATTAATGTCTAAATAAACAAAGAGAAATCCCGGAAAATGCTAAACTACCTTAAGGGTAGTGAGCACTTTTCGAGGTTTGGGGGGTCAATTCCACAATAGATCTTTAACGTCACAGTGAAGAAAAAGCAGAAGAAAGGGAGACATTGATCAGTCGAAGTAGGAAATAAAAATATTGTCAAAAGTAACTTTAATCAACTTCAAGAAAGATTTACTACTTAACACAGAAAAGTTAAAAATTTATATTATTATTTATTATACTATTATTTACTTTGTTTTATCTTTTTATAACAGGCTATCAATAATATAATGATTTCAACCCTTACAAATGTAGTTTTTAACCTAGTCTTTAAATGCATTATTTTCTATTTACAAGCTATTCACTAAAAAAGGTTGATGGAGGGATAATGGATATTTTTCCATATACTTTATAAATATGAGCAACTATGAATACTAGTCTAATTGAGGACCAATGGGGGACTACACATTCACGCGTGTAAATACATTCTCACAAAACAACACAAAATCTATCATCAAACATTTTATATAACCGTATTAACGTTAATTACAATAAAAATATATATGTATAAAAATATCAATTTCTCTCACCAATTGGAACAGCAGATCCAAAGTTTCGCTGTTAAACTAAAGTTCAAATTTCATATTGGATGGCATTCATACTCGCTCTCTATATGCAGCCAAGGAACGACACCCTTCAATTAAATGGGGCACACCGAGTAACTTTCTCTGCATGTTGGACACATATGTGGCCTTTGGATCATAAGTGTCCGTATATCAAATGGATATGGCAATTCTGATTCTACTGTTTTTTTTCCAAAACATATAATAGACTGAGTTGGGGTGTTGGGGCTGCAACGGTTTAGACATTGCACTCACCCCTGTAAGGTAAAGGTCCTGGGTTTGAATCCAGCAGCCGTCCATTTTAATCTGACATTTTTTTTTTCAAAAACACTGACCCCCCACCTTGAGGATTGATATGACCTCTACTATTGCGAACCCTCTACAAAAATAAAAATAAAATCATTTAAAAAAAATTAAATAAAACATTTTTTTTCATATTCATGATAAAAGTGTCCAATTCCACTTGTAATTTTGTCGTTATCAATGGCTGTCTAGCTAACCAATTAGTCTGTCAGACCGTTTCAACATTTCTGTTGGATCTGTCTTCAGTATTGGATCTGTGTTTTTTGTTAAGTAAAGTCTCTTTTTTAAGGTTTTTGCAGTTGTCAGAGTTACCTTTGTTTGTCGATGCATTTGATGGTTTTGAGTTGAAATTGATGCTCAAAATATAATAAACACCAATTCATTAGGGCACCTTGGTTTTTCTAGCTGAAATACATGTAATCATCATTTGTGCCATAGAAAATATGAGGTTACACAGAGTAACAAAATCCTTATAAGACAGCCAAGGCAGCTCTAAAAGCATTAGCATTTAAAAAGGTCATATCGAAAGTAGTGAATACATCAAAAACAAAAAGAATTGCAGCAAGACCTATTATTTCTTGAAATTAGGATCAAGACTAAGGAACTAGGAAAAGTACAATAAACTAAGTGAGGTGCTTTGGGAACTGTGCTTAAATAGTATCCCCATCATCATCCTCCTCTCTGAAGATGGCAAAAAAATTAAGTATGTTTGAGTGATATTTAAACCTGCAACAGTAGCAGGGCACAGGCCCAGTAGTGATAAAGAGTTAAGTTTAACATGTATTCACTTACTCGCAGATCAACCATTAATTTGTATTTTGTTAGTTGTTTATTTCGTAAGCATGCAGAACATTTTTAAAAAATATCCTTAAAAGGCAAAAACTGTTTGGATATAATGGTTAGTAAAGTTAAAGCCTATGATTTCTTTGTCTTAATATACTCATTGCACCTGTCATTTTTGTATTTAGTTCAACTTGCAGGAACTTGTTACTGAAAACAAATCATCCATGGAATTATACACACTTGTTTTTGTGTAATAAATATATTTTGACATTGCATTACTATTTTAGATTACTCTTTAAAAAAACATTTTATTTCAAATGTTTATTTGATCTATTTAATTATAAAAAATCCATCTAGACACTTTTCTACCTGGAAATGCTTACATTCCTTTTGAAAAGATGGTAAGTTTTTAAAATACAATTAAAATATAGAAAATTATAGCAAGAAATTAATCCTGGTTTTGAAATCATTTAGCAAATATCAAAGAAAAAATACAATTCCATAATTTAGAAGTTTAAACAACATTGTTAATAAAATGAGTAATAGTTAACTAAAATCACTATTTTTCGTGGTCCGCTTGACCAATTAATAAGTAACTAAAGTAACCAAGTAAAAGTTAACTAAAGTAATTATCTTGTTTTAATAGACATAAAATATTTTTCCACCACATTTTTTTTGGTTTTAATACAACCCCATTTAATGAACAAAAACAATCTAACTCACATAAAGCCCTTGATTTTACACCAATAATTGTATAATTATAAATCACTTTACTTATAAAACAATTCATATAATGATTTAATTTTAATTACATCTATTTCTACTAAAGTTGACAATAAATAACAAGGAAAAAATTTCAGCTAAACAATATGATTAACAATGAAGTGTGTGAATTGAAAAGTATAAAACAACAGTGTGAAGAGTGTAAATTTCACGAAGGGGTGTTGATCTGCAGCCCACTCATCATTGCTTCTATCGAGGCCAATTTCTTTTCCATTTTTGCTTGCTTGTACCTATAAACATTTATAATTATTTTTATTTAAAAAGAAGATATTTTACAGCTTTTAATCTTGATTTACCTATCACGAACTTCATTCAAAGCCCATTCCATTAAATTACCAGCATCTTTCTTCTTAGACGATGGGCACTTGGGTGAGCAGTAAATGTTACACATCGTCTTCATACAAAAAAAATTACAGTTAGGAAAAAGACAATAATTCTTGTAAAAAAATCCATTTTACATAATAAAAAATTATTTAAATAAAATAATACGAAAATGCAGCTTCTTACAATGTATAGACCATAGAGGGCTCTCATATTGTCTGGATTTAGTTTCAAAGCTTGTGCATAATACGATTTTGCAATTTCAAAATTCTCCAGACCTCCCTGTAAGCAAAATATTAAAAATTTACTGTTTTCGTTATAATTGAAGTGAAAGAGAATACTCAAAGTGATTAAAGTTTTCTTCTTTTAAAGTAATAAGATATAACTTAACCTTTTAATTAGTACCATTTTATTTAGAATTACAAATTTTTGTTTGGTTTTATTATTATGCTACAACAGCACTAGAGTGCTACAAGGAACTTTTGTTGGCTATATGAATTTTAAGTGAAAAAGAGAAAAATTAAAAATGAATTAAGAGTAATTAAAAGCAATCCATTTTTCAATCCTAGCATAACACTATTCACTTTCCACACTAAGGAGAAAATCGTGAGGCCATTGGCAGACACTTTAGCCATGTGAGGATTGTCGGGAAGAGTTTGGGAAGAAAGATGTTAGGACGAGGTTCGAGGGTTTGCGGTTTCAAGGACAAATGAATTTGAAGGTCTGTATGGATAGTAAGGCTGGATACAAAGTAGGAAGCTTGGACAATAGTTTAATGGTTTTTTATTGTAGTGACTGGTTTCTTTGGAGGTTGGAGTACTTGGTTGAACCCCACAGTTCAAATCTGTAGTGATGTGTTCATTTGGAGTTTGTTTTGTAGTGAGAGTTTGATCAGCTGTTAAGTAGTCCCTTGAGTAGTTTATGTTGTCTATAGTTTTTTGAGTCGAGTTCAAGTACTGTCACAAAGTAGTCCTCTTAAGTATTGATTGCTGGGAAAGGTACAGTAGTAGTAAATTGGAGTAATGCAAAATAAAAATACTATATATATTAAATTACAATATTAAAACAGAATATTAACTACCTGCGTAAATTTGATCTCAGCTAGCCTTTGATGAAACAGATGGTTATGTGGATTATGAAGAATCAATTCTTCCATACAAAAAGCTGCTTTGGCATAATCTTGTTCTATAAGGTATAAATCACATAATTCTTGCCATGCTTCTTGGTCTACCATAAATCTAAAAGGGCACAGTTAAACAAATAAATTTCATAATGATCAAAAAATAAAACAGTCGGATCTTAAGTACTTTTTCAAATACTCCGTGAGTTCCTTTATAGCTTCTTGGTAATTGCATCTCGCCCTCATGATGGCTACTTTCCTTTTCCTTGGTGCTGGGTTTGTCTCGTCCCTTCTGATTATCGAGTCGAGTAAGGTCAACGCTTCATCATACCTTTCAACAGCCTCCAGGTGCAAAGCCTGCAAAAGGTGGACACGCAGACTGCCGGGGAAATGCTTTGAAAGGTCTTGTAGACAGTCGCCAGCGATGTCCATCCGGTTACAATCCAATGCCCCAACACATACTTGTTCCAGTATCAGGTATTCTATTTGAAAAGAATAATGATAAATATTGTGAAATTTTGGATGTGAATAAAAGTAAAAACTTTAATTTACGTTCGTCACCCAGTTTGTGCACATTTTCTCTAAGGATATCTTCCCAGATTTCTATCAGCTCTTCACTTTTCCTTTCGTTGTCTTCTCTCCATTTTCTAACAAGATCCCTTGCGTCTTTAAATGAAATAAGGCAATTTTAAAAACTGACTATTCTTGTTTAAAGTTTTTAAAAACCAGTTAACATGATTTTGAGTTATAAGTGAACAGAATTAATTTTATTCATGGTTAAAATGATTTAGTAGAATTAAATGCAAATACACTTTTTTCATGCTTCATTGGCCCTACACGGCTGACTCAAGAAACTTTTGGGCCATAGCCCAATTTGTCCAGCATGCAGGGAAAAGTTGTTCCATGTTTCCCACTTAATTGTAGGATGTCATTCTTTGGCTTCACACACAGAGTGAGTACGAATGCCACCCGATATGAGAATTGTGCTCCAGTACAGCAGCAAATCTTTTCCCTGTTCTGATTTTTTGGAAGAAACTGGAGTATTTTTGTACAAATATATTTTAAAAAATCTAAAGGTGGCTCCATACATGCGATATTCATTGAATGCCAATTGCTGCCGAATATTTGCCAAGCCTCGAGATGCTTGTCTTGGTATTCGCCAGATAGTGTGCCTATGTACGCACATATGCAGGGTTTGTACAACCATCCAGTTTGTGCAGCAACAGCGAATATTCGCCAAATGCCATGCAAGTCCTCAACTTACCAACTGTGATGGACAACAGTGAAGCTCTGGTTACTGTTTTGTGTAGTGGCTACAAACTCAGTCACAGAGTACTGTTACCCCATCTTACTTTCGATCCGTTTCCACACAAAAAAAAACTCTTTCTGGGTTTTATGATTCAGAAGAGAAGCATTCCAAATTATTGGTACAGGTTGATCGAGGAACTCCGAGGCTGTTATGTCCATTCTTAACCAATAGAAACAACACTATGTTGTTCTTTCATTAATACATCTATACAAGTTAGGAATCGTTTATTATTGAAAAATAAATAGCGGTAAATAGAAGTAAATAATAACTGTTGATTGATGGTTATAGTTGATTTACATACAGTACGGTTCATTACCGGAAGTGTGGATGCTGAGAGCATGGCTACTTCATGAATATTCATACACTTTAAAATGGACAAGAAAACTGACAATTATCTGAGCATGGCGAGCACTGAATATTGTTGCTCGGTGAATAACCGAGCACCCATCCAACTAGTTGAGATTCAGCGAACCTTTGTTCAGCATTCAACGAATCACATGTCTGGAACCAGTGCCCAAAGACAGTTCTCTTCTGGGGTTCTGAGTTCATTTTTCAGTGTTCCACAAAGAACACGTCAAATATGGATGACACTGTCTTTGCCATAACTACAAACATCTGAATAGACCAGGATACATTCTTTAAAGGATGTGTTGCGGCGCCGTAAAGAATCTTTTATTCTTTCATGTCATTCATCCAATGGTTGCACACTCATTCTAAAGTAGTTGAAATTTTTTTTCGCTGTCAGTCTCTTCTAATATTGATTGTATGAACCCATTGCAGTCTATTTCTTCTTTACATTATAGGCCTATATAACACCATAAATGCGATTAAACTACTGCATTCCATTCCAACCCAAACAATATGTTGGGAGTATGCCGGAATGATGTGAATGTTCCCATTCCTCCCGTTATAGTAGTGTATAAGTGTGAAACAGCGTTTGGAGTTAATTCTGTGATTGAGTGAAAAAACACATTATGATTACATTTGTAATATGTACGAATATGCATACGCTAAATATAAACATTAAAAAAATCCTGTTTCCTAAAGTTCTTAAACTTTACTTAACACATTTCCAGTGACAAAGCAAAATTTACACTAAGCTATTGTATTATGTTGTAAGCTTAGTGCTAATCAATCTAGAATTTCTTATGCATATACATTGTAAATTAACATACATATAACTAATATTACATAATTCATGCATATTCCAAGAGGATGCTGTTGGAGTTAATCAACTTGATATAGTTACCGACTCAAACTGCTACAGTCTATTTTAATGGGCACGTACTCTAAAGAATTTTACGATTTTACATTAAATAAGCCCGTTAATTAAAAGCCGACATGGTGAAAGTGTGCCTCGTGCGAGATAGATATCAACATAAATATGATTTTTGCAATACCTGACCAATGCATCCCTCTATCGCTGACTGGGCCTAGCTTCCTGATATTTTTGATATTTGAAGCAACTCATCAATTGTCCAACTATAATTTACGTTTAAATTGGACGAGGAGAGGTTTCGAAAATATTTATTTATACCGTTCAGGTACGGTATCACTATTTCAACACAGGACAGCTGTGATCCGATGTACTCAGTAAAATTTGAAAGCTCAGATTTATCACAAATGATATAGTTATATGTGTTCTAATCCGTTTATAATTATTTTCTTAGTCAGGATTCTTGATTTTCTTAAACGAAAAGCAAGTTATATCAAATTATTACCGTTATATTTGACGTCATTTTGTGGGAAAAGTGTAAACTCATTGAAGAATATATCCCCCAGTTGAACCCAAAATTAGACACAATTTTCCTTCATGAACATAACTTTTTTAAAGTTTTATGATGTTTTCAATTAATTGGATTTTTCGATTAGTCTAACATTCTTTCTACATAAAACACTCGAAAGACTAGTTGAAAAACAGATAAGGGGCAGCTTTCTAAATGAAAAACCCCTTCATAAATACCAACATGCTTACCATAAAGGAAAATACACCAAATAGAGGATTCATCAAATAACCAAGAAAAAACATTAGAAACTTTCTTGACATTGAAGGAGTATTTGATTCTATGTATCACAGGGACAATGAGAACAAGTGCATTAGAAATTCTGATAAACTTTTCTCCTCTGGAAACGTAGGAAAAGCTCATTTAGGCTCTAAAAACAATAAAATTGGTTGGGAACTAAACAATTTGGGCACACAATCATAACTAATAAAATCAGACACCCATTCTAAAAAATGGGGACTGACTGTATGATCCTGGAAACATAATTTACCACATCCTATAAAGCCTCAACAGACTATAAAGGAGAGGAGAACTCAGGAGAGCATGAGATAAAATGATATGGTACACAGATGGCTCCAAAACAAATGAAGGAACCGGATCAGGTGTTTTTTGTACAAGCCCAAAATATGATCAATCAAATTCATTAGGAAAGTACATTTTGGTTTTTCAAGCAGGAATACACCATCAATGCTTGTGCCTTAGAAAAATCTTAAAAGTGGTTACACTGGAAAAAAAATCCTCATAAGATCAGATAGCCAAGCAGCTATTAAAACATTAGCATGAAAAAAATCACATGACAACTAGTCAGTGAATACATCTTGCATGCAAAATCTCCACAACTTGGGGAGAAACAATAACGTGATGATATTTTGAGAACCAGGGCACAAAGGTATTTTGGGTTAATGGAAAAGAAGACATATTGTGTAGAGGAAGATCTGCGGGACTATTGACTGCACTGAACTAGAGAATTATGAAGGTACAATAAGCTAGAAGGCTGCAGTGCTTGGGGACTGGGGAGTACAAACCCTGCTTCTAAGCACCCATTATCATTATCAAAGTCAAAAAAACTCATATTTTGTTGTTTATTTCTAACTACATGCATTTTTATCATTACATTAATTACAACATACTTAATTTAAAGTTAAACACAGGATTAAAATTGATGAGTTTTAATTTAATAAAAATTGTTTAATTATGATGGTTTTTATTATTTTAAATGATGTATGTACTGCTCTCCTGGTCAATTAATTCAATACAATATCTCAAAAATAAATGAAGAGCTTATTTCAATTTTAATTTTGGTCAATAATAATTTGATTAATATTAATCCAATAAAAATAAAAATCTTGGCTTTTTACCTCTTGCACACCTCTTGCAAACACAATTAGGAAATTTAAGTTGGACAAATTTGCTACAATGTATGTGGTTCTTTTTATTGCCTAAGTCACATCTTATTTTTTAAGTCTAAATTTAATAAAATCACTTGTAGTTCTCTTCTTTCAGAATTATGCCATAATTTTCTCAAATTCGCTAGATTTAAAATCTTTTCACAGCTTCATACAGCTATTAATGTTTGCACTTGTTACATATTAAACTATAACAAGCTCATTTATCTGATGTAAAAAAATAACTTTCAAAATAAGGTGTAATTTATATTTATAAATGATTAAATCCACAAAAATTTAATTGTCCCTCATATAAGTGTCTAACAATGGCAAATCTTTTCAAATGCACCACAACTCAAGGTAATTTTTTTAATAATTTAAATAGGCAGGTGCAAGTCATTGGAATGCACTACTGGTTGCAGTGCATTGGTCCCGGCACTTGGAGATCTCAGGTCTGCTTTTTGTGCACCAATGATTGATGATATTATTTTCTTCTTCTTTTTTCTGGGTTTTGGGATGGTTGGAGATTTCCGGTGTTTAACCATATTGAGCCAGTCAGCCATTTGGAAAGAGGATTTGGACATCAGACCAGAGGTTGAACCAGTTCTGGTAGGAACTGGTGCTGAATATGATTAGAGAATGTTTTCATGATATCGACAGGATAACCATCAACATTAGGAGAAAACTCGCTAATGCGCATCTTGGTATCCCTTTTTTTACGAGGTGGGGTATTGTCCACAACTAAAAAGTATTTTACTACTATTAACAAGCACAGTAATTGCAAACTAACCTGTCCCTGTGAACTCAAAAATATTATTGTCAAACTAAAAAATAATAAGTCTCCAGGTTTAGATGGTGTAAGCCCTAAATTCATAAAAAACATTTCTAATAAAAGCTTAATACACTTCACCAAAATAATTAATTACATATTAATATATGGTTATTTCCCCAAAATTTGGAAATACAGTAACATAATTTATTACCTAAACCTGGTAAAGACTTGTCTCAGGTGAGTAGCTACCGGCCTATCTCACTTCTTCCTTGTCTTGGCAAAAAGAATCAACCTGTTTATTGAAAAGAAGAACCTACTGGCGGCTGAACAATTTGGGTTCAGGTCACATCACAGCACCCCAACACAATTGGCGAGGGTCACAGATATTATTGAGCACAATTTTAATTTGAACAAGCACACTGGGATGGCACTGGTTGATGTTGAAAAAGCGTTCGACGTCATGGCACAATGGGCTTGTCTTTAAGTTAATCAGTTATAACTTTCCCAAATACATTGTTTATTTAATAAGGAGTTATCTGGAAGATAGGAAATTTTTTGTCTCGCTTAACGATGTGAGCACTGACTTTCGGCCAATTGCTGCTGGTGTACCCCAAGGCTCTGTCCTTGGGCCCACATTGTTCAATTTATTTATTAATGGTATAACCGAACTAAAAGTTAAGCCAAAGTGTGCCCTATATGCTGATGACACCGCTTTTATGATCTCGTCTTTTAGGGTAGATACAATAGCTAGGCATTTTCTCCCTTGAGGAAACATTTAATTAATTTTACAGGTGGCAGATCAGACCCAATGAGTCAAAAACAGAGGTGATTCTGTTCACTTGCAGAAGGCCTAATGTTGATTGTTTTGTGACAATAAATGCAAGGTGTATTCCATGGAAAAAAGAAGTGAAGTATCTCGGTTTGATGCTGGACTCAAAGCTCACGTTTACCAAGCACATCAACACGGTATGTGATAGAGGAGTGGCTCTGATCTGCAATTTATTTCCATTGTTAAATAGACACTCTGATCTGAGTATATTTAATAAAAAGTTAATTTATTATTTGTGTATTCGACCCATGCTTGTATGCAGCTCTTGTCTGGTATAATGCATGTATCACCAACTAAGGAAGTTGCAGGTTGTGCAGAACAAATGATTGAGACTGATTGGTTCCTTTTACAGGAGGGCGCAAATAGACTACATGCATTCAGTATTGGAGGTGGCTAGTGTCTCTACACAAGTCCACAGTATAACATCAAGATTTTGAAAAGCTTGTGAACTTAGTGAATACACTAATATTATAAATATTCTGACAGCATGAGATTTTTAGTATTGAGAGGAAACATAAAGAGCTCAGAGGATAACCACCCCATGCAATAATTTCTTATCATTTGCATATTGATCCACTTCATAATTGAAGCACTGATGGAAATACTATGTCCGAAAAGAAAAGAAACACAGCAGTTAGCATGTTGTAACTCTCTTCTTAAATGCATGCTGACAGGAAGTGAATAGATAATGCACCATGTTTCACGAGATGAACCTATAATGGTTGTTACTGATCATTTTGGTCTGTCTGTCCTCAATGAGTTGGTCTGTAAGATGTGTTTGGGAATTTCACCATCTTCAGGATGTCTGTGTGATTCTGCAGTCAAGTGTTTATAAGGTTTTGAGGGTGCGTATGTTGGTTGGTGCTTTTGGTGGACTAAAACTGGGTTATTATTCCAGACTGTTTTTGTGATTGTTGGCTCTTTTTCTTTTTAATTGTAAATAAACTAGCAAGGTTAAACAGAACAAAATGAGCCAAATCATCTACCAAATTACATATTTTGTAGTAATTTGAGTATTTTTTAAAATTATAATTTGAATTATGGAAATCCTTAGTGTGCACAATTAAAAAACAAATCTTAATTTTGTACATATTCTTTATTTTAGGAACTATACATTATTCACATTAATGTTGTCTGTCAAAATTTATCTTCAAATTTTCAACCTATCTTCATATATCAAATACATATATGAAAGCTATATTTCATATTTAAATTTATTTAATGACTACCATTTGCTCTATTTTATGTCTTAAATTTTTATAAAGTTCATCCGATCTGTAAAATCAAAAATAATTACATATATGTAAATATAGGATTATTTAAATAATATTTTTTTACCTTCCATTGGTCCCCATGTCTATGATTTTAATGAAAGAAGATGGACAATCTTCTGGATATATTATTCTGGTACTAAGAAGCAATGTATTTGATACAATGAAGGCTAATTCTTCATAACAGAAGTTAGGCAGGTTGAATCTCTTTCTTGTCTCCTCTCCTCCCATCTGTTAGACCAAATATTAATTGAATATTAATTAATACTTTGACTTATTACTTACATATAGAAGGATTGTCATCAGAGATGATAAAAGTGTCAGATTTGGATTTAGCTTATAGGCTACCCCTGATACAAAGCCTGATATGAGCGCAAATCTCTCATCATCTTTTTTATTTGTATTGCACAAATAGCAACTTATTATCTGTAAAGTTAATGATTATTTATTAAAAGAAAAAATATACTTTATTTTTTTTAACCTTATAAAGTGCGACATAAGAACTTGCAAATATAGCAATTCTGCAGTTATCCCAGTTCAACATGGTTTTGACCAACTTGATTGGATTTTGGATGAGCTTAGGACTTTTTACTAGCACTTTGACAGTGGAGAACCCAAGTCCAATTGTGAAGTACTTTGCTGTGTTCTGTTATTTAGAAATTGTAAAGTTATGGCCAAGCTTTAAATGTAACACATTTTCATTAAATAGCTTTAGTTGTACTTTTAATATATCATCCCAGCAAGTGTTTCTATGAGAACAGAAGTGCTTGCAATTTTGGTCATCATCTTTTATCCTCGACGGTTTGAAAAACCTATGCAAATAATCATTTTCAGCTTTTAATTATTTCTAAATAATTTAATTTAAATAATGTTCATGGTGGGTGTAAGTCTGTGAGTCAGTGAACACTTGTTGAACCGGCAATAGATCCATTTTTTTTCCAAATACATTTTGTCTGGCGACACAGAAAGTGACCCAAGGCTGGTTCAACATGTTAACTAAGACAGTTGGGAAAAAGTTCTAAGAGAATTCTTTTCCTGTTGAATAAGTGAAGGGACCATTTTTGGTGTATATGTCAAGTACAATCGTGTCAATGAAATACAAATAAATATTTATATAAAAAACAACAATAAAAGTTGATTTATGTCATGCAAATTGAAATTGGAGTTAAATTTACAAATAGAAACTTAATGAATTAATAATAATTAATGTAATTACCACATAACGGATATTTCACTTTTCTTCTTAACTGGTAATCTGATAGTGTACATAAATATAGCATTGCAAATCATGAAAAAAAGCATTTCAAGATTTTTTGATCTTTGGAATCTCTTATATAAGCGACGAAACACACATTCGATAGCCTGGATTAAATATTATTATTAATTTATATGAATGATTTAAAAAAAGTTTGTGTAATTTTTCACCAAAGCAACGAAGGTGCGAGTTACAATCGATCTCCGAACAGGATGGTCAAGAAATATCGGGAAGCTTGATATGAAAGGGCACCAGAATTTGAGAACGCTGAAATTAAGTCGTCCTGTAATCTTCCTGAAAATTGTCTTTTTATAGATAAGGCTTTGAATATTTTCAACTGACTTACACATTTAGGCAGTTTATTGCTGTAAAACATATTGCGTACATAGTGGCCATTAACATTGACCTGAAGAAACTCTTTAATATCACTGGTATGTGATTTTTGGTCAACTTTTTATACATAAAAAGATATTGGAACTGAAATAAATAGCAATTTATTATTCCTTGACAAACTTTTACGTGTTAGAGTAGTGTAATATTTACAGAAAACATATGTATTAAGCATTTCAAAACGAAAAAGTGTAATGTAAAAATATATGCTTTTTATCTAAGTTATAGACCCCCATTTATTAATTATATAATTGGTTTCTTTTAACTCACAGTGTACATCACGAAAAAGAATTTCGATGCACCTATAACAGCCGAGTAAAAAAATATCAAGTTGCCCTTGGTACAAGTTGATCCCCAAGGGTGAATCATATCCCGGCAGCTATAAATTTTGGAAATCTCATCAAGATGCTGTTTGCTGAAAACAGTCATTTTTCCATTTATGAATTGTCTTCTAGTAGAACAAATATTACCAACTGACTACAAGCAACTATAACTATAATTTCTCACAATGATTATTTTGTATGAACAATGGGATATCTGAATGTTTAATAATTATTCATTACCCCCCTCTTTATTTTTTTTTACGATGGGTCAGCTTATTAAACTCAAGGTTTGCTGTTTTCAGGCCTATATTTGGGCTCATTATGCTCGTCAGATTTAATTTGGAAAAACAAGTAATGAGACTTTTTGAAAAAGAATAAATTGTCTTTAAAAAACAAAAAACATTTATTTGATTTAAAAACTTACCAATAAACTAGTATATTTTACATACTTATTTCTCAGCGTTTCATAAGCAATAACAAATCTTTAAGAGATAAAGTTAAATATCAAATACAAAGTATGCAAAGTTCTGATAATTATATAATAGCTACATGATACAGTTGATGTGTTTTTTAATTTTTTATTCTGGCTTTATTTGTTGTTTAAGTTGTACATTTCAGAGTAAGTTATGCTACAGTTTTTAAGAACTTTTAAATCTCTCTTTCATTGTAAAAATAATTTATATCTATTGTACATTTTCTTTGGCAGCTGTGTTCACTTTCAATCTGTGTTGTTAATAAATGTAAATTTCTTAGAAAAATCAGCGCATCCTGATAATTAATTAATTTAATTCAGATGGCCATAAAGTGCCAAGCATATTGCATCTCAACTATCCTTTAGATTACTTTCTCTTTTGCACCTATTTTGGTACCTTTTTTCCCCCAGGGTACAAAGAGACATTATATTTAAGTCTCCTGCTTTTGTCCTCAATGAGAACATAACACTTTATTTTCGAAATAAAACTATGCCTGACAAATGACAAAGTCCTTTACTGTCTTCTGAATTCAGTGCTGCTATGACATGAAACCTAATTCTAAATTTTTTATGATTGAATAGATCCTTGTCGTATTTAATGAACTTTTGTTTGAAAAATACTGCTGGGTAAACCTACAGGACCATACCCTTGTTCCTTATTTCTAGATCTGTTAACAGAAAGAACCATTCTCAGTTAAGAAATCAGTTGTTTATGTATTTATGTTACCATATAATTTTATTCTTGAGAATGAGGTAAAGCTTCCATTTTAAAAAAACAAAAAATTTAAAGATGATTAATGATTAAAAAACTCCGAATTTTGCTGTAGGTATGCAAGGATGTTGTTTGGGCTTGGAAATTTAAACAACCAAAAATAATGAAACGTGACAAGCTGTGCAGGTGACCTTAAGCTAGATTGCCTCTGATGTGAACTGCTTTAAGAACGTTTCATTGTAAAAGAACAGTAATAATAATAGCCCACATATTTTCCTTTGTGAGTATAATAACAGATAAGTACTTTATTACTCCACTTAAGAATGGAAGGATACAAGTTTGATTGATGCACGTTTAAAGCCGGGAATACACTTACCTGATGCAACGCTACCCGACACAAATCCAAAGTCCAATTTTCCATAAGATTGTATTACCCCCATGCACATCTGCCCGATGCTATGCAATGCTACCCTACCCTACACTCTGCGATCCCCACTGTCCAGATTTTCGTCGGGTAGCGTCGAGTACAGTCGAAGACAAAAGAACCGGACACTCATATTTTTATTCAAGCTAAACATATTATTGTCATTATATTAATTACAAAATTCCTATTTTAATATAAACCAAATTAACCTAGATCAAAAATTCATTAGTTTTTATTTAAAAAAAATTAATTTTAATGGTTTAGATGGTTAAATTTTCTAATTGATCAAAACACCAGAATACTATTTTTAGATATAACAAATTTAACTAACAATTTATTACACGGTTTTGCTTATAAAATTTAACTATCAATTTATTTCATGGTTTTGCTCATAAAATTACACCATTTTCGTCGAGTCTCTTCAGAACAGGACACTCATATTTTTGAAGTTTATTTCAAACTAAGTATAGGTAATTTTGTTGTTATATTAATTACAACATGTTATTTTAATGTAAACCAAATTAAACGAGATCAAAAATTCATAAATTTGTATAAAAATGATTTAATTATGATGGTTAGGAAGAAAATTTGTCAAAATACCAAATAACTTTATTTAAAACAATTAGGTTTAACTAACAATTTATTTCTTGGTTTTGCTCAAAATAATGCATTAAGAACAAAAGGGGCATTGCAATTGTGATACACGCTGTGTGACTGTATGTGGCGTGCACTTGACATTGTATAGATGTGCACGCCCTACCAAAACATGGCAAGGCATCGGATAGCATTGCATAGCGTTACATCCAGAAAGTGTATTCCTGGCTTATCTTATAAATTTTTTGAGGCTGCCGTAGTTATCGAGTGCCAGTCAGTATGATGAAATTTAACAAAAATTATGAACAGCTATAAAAAAGATGAAAAAGCAAATCACTTTTACTGTGGTATTTAGTTTTAAATACTACTATAACAAAATAGGTACTAGATAGTTGTAATTTTTTTTTTTAATTGGCTAAACAAAAATAAAAATAAAATGATAGCATTGCCTTTTGTTACTAAGAAAATATATTAAAATAACAATTTTTAGTTGATATTGAAAAGGACAGGTACAAACCAATTTGTCAGATTCGACTATGATGGTGAAGTGCTGAAAAATGACTGACAGATGAAACCAGTACCAATGGTAAAACAAGGTTGATCAAAAAGCTGTAGGTTAAAACTTAAATTAACTTAAACTTAAAAGTGATGATTGTGCTTGTACACACTGGCTTGAATAATTGGACAGGTATAGGATAAATAGTTTGATAGAGTGAAATATTCTTAACCTAACAAAAGTTAGGACAAAATAAAATATAAATTAAAAAAAGTAACAGGAGATATTGAGTTAATAACATTAACCTGAAACGAGAATGATAAATATGGTAAAGCTCAGTCAACTCCGACAGTAGGGCCTTTTCCCCCTTGGCATCTCCTTGGTGAAGTTTTGCTACACCTTCTGGAGATCCTTAAGTTTGTCCTTGAACTCATCCTTTTCTGCTAAAGTGTTTGAGTCAAGCCAAGAAAGCATGGCACTACATTTATCAAGAACGGTTTTCTTGTCGGTTTCAGACAGTTCCGAACTAACACCCTCAGCTGCTTGCTTAACACTGAAGCAGTAACTCCGTTGATTCCTTGCAGATACTTTTTATCACTGTTTATTGTCTTGCACCTTCAAATGCAACCCATGTATTACCTAGTTCTCAATCCCTGCTTGATCTTTGTATTGTTAAAGATATTAATAAAATACTAAACTTTCAATTTTTTGACACCCCATGTGACTCTAATCATAGGTTCTTGCACTGCTGTGCTAATGTACCTTTTTAAAGAAGTCCTCTTAGATTTATCGAAAATCATAAACTTGTTGAAGTTCAACAACCAGAAGTTCTTACGCGTAGATCTCGACTTATATGGGAACCCACTCTCCATTGATGGGGACTCTATGTTGAATTTGTTTAATGACAGTATCATATCTATACTATCTATACTGAACTGTATGGCTCCTGTTATTAAACACTAGGTCTCTCACATCTCTTGTGGTTGTCATCTGAAATTAAATCTGCTCTCTATGTTCAGGATCAAGCACACAAGATTTGTAGGGTATCTGGTCATCCTGAGGATTATATAAATTACAAAAATTTGCTTAACAAAGCTTGTTCAACTGTCAGAAATGCCCAAAAGATATTCTTGTCTAAACCTCACTTGATCTGCTTAGTAAACAACTTTGGAGCAACATTAAAAATAAAGCAAATAATCATGAAAAAACTTAATATCTCTGGTAAAGTACAAGACAAAGATGTTACTTTGATGCAAATCTTCTGAATCAATATTTTATTTCATCCAATACTAATAATTTTTCACCTCCCTCTCATAATCCCTCAATAACAGTCCCATCATTTTGCTTTGCATTAATGAAATTAAGTCTCAGAAGCACTTTTTTCTATTAAGTCCAATACTATTGGATCTGATGAAATTCTTATTAAAAAACTTCCCATTTGCCAGTTTTCAATTTCTCCTTAACTTTTCCGTCTGGGAAAAAGCTGTTGTTTTCCTAAAGTTTCACTATCCCCAAATGATTTTTTACCTATCAGTTAATACTCTCATTATCTAAAGCTCTAGAAATAATTATATTTAAACAAATTAATAACTTACTTGATACTCATTCGCTGTTTTCACCTTTTCAGTCTGGTTTTCGACATCAACATAGCTGTGACTTGGCCTTACTAAAAATTAATGAAGATATAGGAATAGGCATATAAATTCATGAATGCACTCAGTGTTAACTTTTCCAATGCTTTTGGGGTGGTCAACCATGACCTATTTATTTGGAAACTTGAAAATTTACTTGGTTTTTTGTCCTCTAGTTATAAATTAATATCCCTTTATTTGTCAGGTTAACAAGTTGTCAAACTATCTAGTAAAAAAAACTCTCATTTGACCATCTTGTTAAGTCTGGTATTCCTCAAGATGCAATTTTAGGACTCTTATTGTTTTCGAGCCAGATTGTCTCTGATGTAAACTACTTTAAGAACATTTTATTGTAAAAGAACAGTAATATAGCCCACATATTTTCCTTTGTGAGTATAATATTAGGAATAAGTTCATTAAAGTATGTACTCAGGAATGAAGGATACAAGTTTGATTGATGTACGTTTAATTTACACATTGGGGGTTCACATAGCTAGCGATAGCCTTGGCCAGCAGGTTGAATTTTTAGAATTGAAAGCTGATGAACAGCTGTAAAAAAGACAAAAAAGGAAATATGGTATTTAGTGTTAAATACTACAATAACAGTGCAGGTATCCTTATAGAAATTGACATTTTTTTCTTCAAACAGAAAAAAAATTAAATTACATTAAATTAAATGATAGCATTGTCTTTGTTACTCAGAAAATAAATGGATAAAATAAGTCAAGAAAATTTAACAGAACACGTTTATTATATAAAAATACAATTTTTAGTTGGATTGAATTGAACTTGACAAGAAAAGGGCATGTAAAAAGCATTATGTCAGAATCAACTATGATGGCAAAGTACTGAAAAATGCCTGACAGATGGAACCAGTGCCAATAGTAAACAGGTTGACCAAAAAGCTGTAGTTTAGCTTAAAAAAAGATTTATAATAATACTTAAATTATAATATTATGCATTTGTTTATTTTTTTCTAAACTTAAAAATGGTGTTAGTACATTTGAAGTTTCAAACATTTGCGTGAACAGTAGTACGTTTATAGGATAAATATAGTGAAATATTCTTAACTTGATGAAAATTAGGATAGAAATAAACTATAAATTCACAAAAATAAATAAATAAATGAATAAAAATAAAAACAAAAGTAGCAGCAAATATTATTAAGTTAATAATGTGAACCTGAAGCTAGAACGATAAATAGGGCAAAGCTTAGTCAACTTCTTCAACAGTAGGGCCTTTTCCCCCTTGGCCACCTCCTTGGTGAAGTTTTGTCATGATAGGCGAGCACACCTTCTGGAGATCCTTAAGTTTGTCCTCGAACTCATCCTTTTCTGCTAATGTGTTTGAGTCAAGCCAAGAAAGTGTGGCACTACATTTGTCAAGAATGGTTTTCTTGTCTGCTTCAGACAGTTTCGAACCAGAATCCTCAGCAGCTTGCTTAACACTGAAGCAGTAAGTCTCTAGGTGATTCCTTGCAGATACTTTCTCCCGCTGTTTATCGTCTTCAGCACGGTATTTCTCTGCGTCTGCCAGCATCTTGTCAATCTCGACTTTTGAGAGACGGCCTTTGTCATTAGAAATGGTGATTTTCTCAGATTTCCCAGTTGAAGAATCTTTAGCCGAAACATTCAAAATACCGTTCGCATCCAAATCAAATGTAACCTGAAATTTGTATGAAGTTTTTGTGTGTGCATACATTGTATTTTAATTAAACTCACCTCGATTTGTGGCACTCCTCTTGGTGCTGGTGGTATTCCAGTAAGGTTGAATGTACCCAAAAGATTATTATCTTTGGTCATTGCTCTCTCACCTTCAAAAACCTAATGAACAATATAATTAAAACATTACTATTTTATGTGAAAACGTATTGTAATTTAGTTAACGATCATTTTGGTCTGCCTGCAAAAGAGATTTGACTTCATAGAAATTTCACAGGCACACTGAAGATGGCAAAATGCCAAAATGTGTCCAATCCAGCAATGATAGGTGAGTCAAAATGATCAGTAATGACCAATGAGGAAATCTCACAATTGAATTCATATTGTAAAGTGCTGAATATTGGTGCATTGTAAAATACAAATAATGTAAATATAACAAAACAAATTCAAAGTTAACTTTGGACCATACCTGGATAGTAACGGCTGACTGATTGTCTGCATAAGTAGTGAACGTCTGCTTCTGGTTACAAGGAATTCTTGAATTTCTTTCAACTATTTTTGTCATAACTCCACCTGCAGTTTCAATTCCGAGGGAAAGGGGTGCAACATCGACAAGGAGTACATCCTGAATGGCTGAGCTCGTATCTCCACTAAGAATTGCTGCTTGGACTGCTGCACCGTACGCAACTGCCTCATCCGGGTTTATGGAAAGATTTAATGATTTTCCACAGAAAAAGTCCTATGGGAGTTTAAAAAATTATATCTATTTTGATACAAAATAATTTATTTTTTGTTTAAAAAAAATGTTATTTTTGTTTGAAAAAAATTACAAAAAACAAATTAGCCTTAACAATTTTTTTTATTAAAAAAATGTATATACCAAAAAATAATTTATTTATTACCTGGAGCATTTTTTGAATTTTGGGAATACGAGTTGAGCCCCCTACCAAGATGACATCATGGATCATACCCTTATCCATTTTTGCATCCTGAAGAGCCCTCTCCACTGGACTTATTGTAGATCTGAGAGAAAGTTTAACATTAGGTTAAATTTAAGTTAATTATAGATAATTAAAAAGGAAAAGGCAGAAAAAAATCTAAGATTTAAACTAATTTTACCACTACTTATATGTATATGTGTAAATCTAAAAAATATTCTCTGTTACACTTTACAGATATAAGTAATTTATTGGGTGTTGGACCATCCTTGTAATTTCTTCAAACATCTTTCTTTCTCTGTCATGTCTATTTCACATCATAATTCTACACCCTCGGTGCAAAACTCAATGAGTTAAATCTGGGCAGAATGAGATAAGTCTACATTCCAGTAATTCTTAACCTATGTACTGGTATTTTACAAAATTTAATACATTGAATTTGAAGAAATGTGAGCACAATAAAAAAAAAGGTTACTCCAAAATTGAATCGAACCTGGCATGTTTCGTATCATGGTGATCCTTCTTATACCACATCTATATTTTGGTTAATCCATATATGTTTACCAGTCATAATTGACCATATTAATTATTTCAATTAATTATACATTTTATCTATCTTGTTTGAGATGAAAAAGGTAATGCCATAAGTGGAATTTGAACTCGAAGGCCCTGGGTTTGAATCCTGCTCATGTCACTAACTTTTTCTTCTCAACCTTAGACTTTACCTTAGATAAAAAGTATAAATAATTGAAATTTTGGTTTATGTTTTCTAGTTCGTTGATAATTTGTTTATCATCATAATAATCTGCTCAGCATTGATTGTCTTTTTCAATAATATAGACAATATAGACTTTCATTACCCTATTCAGAAGTAAACAATGTAATTTGTGTGTGAGTTTCTTAATTAAACATGAATGTGGGTGTTGACCCGGGAGTTGGTTGAACCTGTATTAGATCACTTGCTGGGTGCGTCTACATTTGCAGATTTTAATGTTACTCAAATGCGTTTTGCCTTTGTTCTGTACTCATAACAAAACACTGACCAGAATAATAAAAAAAAAAAAGAGAATTGTCTTCACAGAAATAACACAGACTCAACACTGAAGATGCCTTAAGTGAGGAACTCAGTGCCACTTCACTACAGTTTCCTCATAAGTGGATGATGGTTAATTTACAAGCATTCTTCAATTCTTTGTACTTTTTTGGCATAAAACCTTGCAAGTGTATTATTATATTCAGAAATACACAAAGTTTATGTATATACTTTTTAAAAGGGAGTTTGCTGTTTACTTAATGATGGTTCAAATCTTTCATTAAGTGGTTGTATTTTTTAGGTAATTTTTTTACCTGAGATCTTTCATATTACTTGATTTGGTATTTTTATTTTATACCTTTAACATTGTTGTGATTTATTTAGTCAAACGTTTTCCTTATTTATATATTTGCATTATTTGATGTTTTATTAATTTGGTATTACTATAATTGACTAAAAATTATATTAAATTATGCGATTTCTCTGTGTAATTTGCAGGGTGATGAACATGTAATTTGGTTGTTACCGATCATCTTGGACTGCCTATTCTATGTTGGTCTCCATCTTGAGTGTTGGGTCTGTGTTATTTTTGTGAATTCAGGTTTCTTTTTTTATTGTTCTGGTCAGTGTTGTGTCGTGAACTGACATTAATTAGTGTATTTATGATTTTTTATGTTTATCATAATTTTTTTAAAGCAGTGATTATTTGGAGATCATGAGATGCGGTCTTGTGTGAAGTAGGTTTAGAAAAACATTTTCTTTGTTGTGCCAACGTTTCGATCTTTCTTTAGATCATCTTCAGGGTCGGGAATTTACAAACATTGTTTAGATTACACAAATACATTTAAGATGTGAAAATGAATTTGTACAATGATGTACACAACATAGAATTTTAGGTTTAATCAAAGCATTTAGGGATGGTTAAGGGTTTTTAGGGGCTCGGTGGCCGCAAGGTTTAGTCTTTGACACGGCGCTCATCACTGTAAGGTAAAGGTCCCAGGTTCGAATCCAGCGGCCCTGCATTCGAATCCGATATACTTACAAACACCGGCACCCTATATATTGATATTGGCAGATATTAATGTTTTATGTTTATATACGTTGGATTCTGAAGGGATGGAGAAGGAAGTAGGGATAGAAAAACGTTTTTATATAACGAGTCGGCTTCTTTGAGGTGAAAGGGGCCGACAATGGGAAAAACGGGTAATGGTTTGTCGTTCGGGCTTAGTTTTCTTTTCAGGATTATTAGGTAAAGGAAAGATGACTAGAAAGATAGACTATGTAGAAATTGTTTTATGTGTGGAGGGTAATGATTATTTTGTATGTTGTATTATACGTTTTGTGTGTTATTGATATCGAATTTGATTTATGATATTAGCGTAAAAATACCATTTTTAGACACACTCGTAATAAAACAACCAGATGGCACATTAATCACAGATTGGTTTCAAAAACCAAGAAACACAGATCGCTACTCGCTACCTCAATTTTTTTCCGCAACAGCAGAGGTTATATCAACCCTCGGAGTGCGTATGTCAGGTTCGAATGCAGGGCCGCTGGATTCGAACCCGGGACCTTTACCTTACAGTGATGAGCGCCGTGTCAACGCCGAAACCGTTGCGGCCACCGACGCCCCCCTACATCAACTTTACATCACACCATACCCCTTCGTACAATAATTAACTACTTTAAGCTACTTAGCCATGAATCTTTTCGAACAAATGCTTTCATTAAACCTAAAATTCTATATTACGTACATCATTGTACATTCACATCTTACATGTATATATTATGTAATATGTGTGGACAATGCTTGTAAATCCCAGGCCATGAAGATGATTTAAATAATCATCGGAACGTCGGCAAGATAAAGAAAATGTTTTTCTAAACCTACATCACACCGCATCTCATGATCTCCAAATAATCATTAATTAACGGTCACTAAATACTCCGCATTTTGAAAGTATGTTCAATTTTTGTCCTTATCGTATGTAGTGGATTTGCTTCATGTTTTAAATTATGAAAATGATTCCTAGTTGATGTATGAATATTCAAGATTATTTTTACAAAATTTTTGATTTTTCCCCCCAATGTTTGCTCTTGTAGGTATAAGTTATATTTATTTAATAAATTTAAATATTTAAATATGATTTAATAAATTATCTTTACTGAAGGTTGAAGTCCATAGTTTTTAATTTAATTTTTAATGTAAATTGTGCTATATTAATACCTGAATAAATCCATGCAGAGTTCCTCAAACCGCGCCCTGGTTATTTTAGAGTAGAAATCGACTCCTTCGTGAAGGGCATCAATTTCAAGGGACGCTTCAGTACTTGATGAGAGAGTTCTCTTTGCACGTTCACAGGCGGTCCTGAGCCTTCTGACGGCTCTCACATTGCCACTCATGTTCTTCTTGAACTTCCTTTGAAACTCGTCGCAGAAATGAGAGACGAGGCGGTTGTCGAAGTCCTCTCCGCCGAGGTGGGTGTCACCGGCAGTGGACTTCACCTCGAAGAGGGAACCTTCGTCTATGGACAAGATGGACACGTCGAATGTCCCTCCACCCAGATCGAAAATCAGCACGTTCTTTTCTCCTTTTAGGTTCTTATCGAGACCGTAAGCCAAAGCCGCAGCGGTCGGCTCGTTGATTATCCTCAAGACGTTTAGCCCTGCGATGGCACCGGCGTCTTTAGTCGCCTGTCTTTGCGAGTCATTAAAATAAGCAGGGACAGTCACTACAGCATCTGTCACCTTTCCGCCTAAGTACCCTTCTGCGATTTCTCTCATTTTGGTCAAAACCATGGAACTCACCTGTCAAGATTTTACAGAATTGTATATTTGTACGTATGGTCAAGCCGAATGAAATTCTTACTTCTTCTGGTGCAAATCTTTTAACTTCACCTTTGTATTCAACTTGTATCTTTGGTTTGCCACCATCGGAAACGACCATAAATGGCCAATGTTTCATATCGGCTTGGATTTTTGGATCGTCGAATCTTCTTCCAATTAATCGCTTAGCGTCAAAAACCGTATTTTTCGGATTCATCGCCACCTAAAACAACAAGTTAAAAATAAAAGGGTTAAATTTATTTAAATATGTATAAAAGCACAATCCACTAAAAAGCACAATCCACTAATTTTTATTTTACATACAGGCTCAGTTTAACTTCTTCCCAAAGCTCAGTTTCCTACTATTTTTTAATTTTTTATTGAGGCATTTTGGGGAAAAACCACGAGGCGTTTTACTTTTTATATTTTATGTATGGTTTTTGTTGGACCTCTTAATTAAAGTATTTTGTTTTTAAGTAATTGATTAATTTTTTTTATGGAAAGTGTGGTTGAGATGAAAAATTAGTGTCATGAGCAGGACTTGACCCACGACATCCGGATTACCCCATAGCATTGAACTATCGTGACTTCAGAACTCGAGATCCAACTCATTTTATTTATTTTTTTGGCTGGTTACTCACGAGCCAAGAAGTTTTCATCTAACTCTACAGGATAGCGGAATTTTAACATAACTATTTATTACAGACATGTATATGCTGATGTCTCGGGTTTCTTTTGACAGTGCCGGCATGTTTCTGAATCTGTTTTGCCATTTTTAGGTGGTAATTCAAAAAACCGAGGCCTTTAATTTTCCTCACATCTTGCCTGTTGACTGAGAGGAGTTTCTTCGACTTCCTTCATGAGAGATTTATGAATCTCTTAGCTTATTTCAAACCTGGCGCTTTCGTCCAGTGCTTGGCATTTTTTCTCAAGCCATTATTCCAGCTGAATGTTTAGCTCACTTTTTGGTGTGATTAGCAGCCCGGTCCCATGGGTGAGAGAGCCACTTCTTCTTCAGTGAGTTGGTCAGCCTATTTGTTTCGTTCTATACCTACTTCAAAGTAACTTTGTAGGACCTTAAGCAATTTAGGTACTCCCAGACCAGTTCGGAACTAAAATCATACGCATTTAATGTTTTATAGCTGTGTGACTCTCTAAAAGTATGTAGATCCGTGCACCTTTTTCTTCTTTATCAACTCCTGTGCACAGAGTTATATTGGACGGATCTCGGCAGGGAAGAAAGTTGAAACCAGACCAAGGGGTTTTGTTAGGGTGTACTGTACCCTTACACCTCCTTCCTGTTCCATCTTTGATCCTTCCTTTGCTATTTATGAAACTTGGAAGGGTCTATCAAAGATGAGTTTTCCTATCATTTTGTCAGATACTGTTATAGCCATCTCATTTATTTTGTTTCTTCTTCCTACAGACCCCACGACCATACAATCAGAAAATGGACTATATGCTGTTACAATAGTGGATCTAGGATGCAAGAAGGTACAGGGGCAGGAGTATCTGTTTCTAACCTCAGAGCGCATAAGTATCGTAAGTACATCAGTTTTTTTCAAGCTGAAATCCATCCATTTGAGAGAGGTACTCAATTTAATTTAAATAGACGGTACAAAAATAAGGGCACAGCTTTTATCTCAAATAGCCAGGCAGCCATCCGAGCAGTTAAGTGCAAACAAAATTGTTAGCTCAAGGATGGCGCTGAATTGCAAAACTAAACAGATTAGGTGCGTAAAGCAAGGTTACACTCTACTAGGTCCCAGGACACGCAGGAGTAGAGGGAAACTAAGAAGAAAAATCTCTTGTGAGGAAAGGGGCTGCTAAACTGCTGATATGCCCTGAACCATATAGGGTTCCACACTTCAACGAGCATACAAGAAGACATGGCGAAAGTTAGGAAACGACGAAATATTCACTCACACAAACAGTCTAAAAACATCATGACGAGATTAGGAAAGAAAGAGACAACATAATGCATCAAACGAAGTAGAAGAACTTCGAATTATAACAGGATTGAATGTGCATTTGAGGAAGACTGGCATCAACCAACATGGTGCAGGTTCTGTGAAGAACCAGAAAAGACCTCAACGCATCTAATTACTGACTGTGGCGCAACTTACCCACAGGAGGAAATGCTTTGGGACGAACAATGTATAAGTGGGACTTACTGGTGTGGAATAGCACAGAATGGGACGTCCAATAGCTCTTAAAAGACACAGTATGTTAAATTATCTTAGAATTTACATCTACATCTAGATCTGACTTAATTTCCTTGTATCTCAGAAGTCTGGCCCTCCCAAAGCTACCCTTTGTAGGAGAAGGAGTGCGGTTTCTAACGCTGTTGTGAGTCAAGTATGCATTGCCTTTGTTATATTAAGATTGTAGACTTAGCCATTTGTTTTACATCTCCTTTTTTGCCATCATACGAAGGCTCCATATGCTCAAAGTGTGTTTTCAGTGAGTACAAATACTTTGAATAAATCGACAATTTCTGTATTGCGTACATCATTGTGTAAATCCCAGGCCCTGAAGATGATCTAAAGAAAGATCGAAACGCACAAGACCTAAGACCGCATCTTACGATCTCCAAATAATTAATAGTAACTCATTAACCTCTTACGAGAAAAAAATCATTCTTTGTCTTTTCTAAAACACAGAGAAAGAAAACGTTCGTACTCATTGTACAAATGGTAAGAAGGAGTAATGCACGAAGTTACCTGATTCATGAAGTTGGTGGATTGCTGGAAAACCGTATATTTCAAATGATCTTTAACCCTTCGATAAATGTTTCATAATTTTTCTTCTCTATCCGTATTAACATCGAAATGAATCTAGAAATGTAATTTATGGACTATGACTTTCCGGCTAAAACTGGGTCCCTTCTATTTTTGGCGTGCCGCGTCTTTTTCCGTTTTATTTATGACTCCAAACATTTAAATATAACACGAAGAGGTGTTACATTACACAATTTACAACGTCCATATTAATCAGTTTTCTTATTTTATTATTGAGCAAAAATTGATGTAGTTTATATTTTTACTTTATAAATTTAGTGGGAGATCGCGCCGCGAAGTCCAATAGACCCAACAAGCGAGGAAGAGCCCCGACCAAATTGTGAAGTTTCAATGCTGGTAACATAACATATACTAGAGTGTAAGCATAGAAACTTATCACAGTAGATTAGCTACCATAATTAGGGTTTCAAATTAATTTTGTGTTTTGAATATCATGCCAAGATTGAATTCTCGTGCTTTCTCAAAAAGGTGATCGAGTTTTAGATAAGAGGAGTTTTTTTTAAAGACGTTCGCAAAGATTGGTCTAGTTAAATTTCATATCCATTTTGTGGGACTGTATTTATGGTTTTTTTTTTTTGGCGTTATGAACTATGCATATTAGCCATGTGACAATTCATATATGTGTGTTCAAATTTTTATTGTGAAAAAAGGGCCAGAGGCGACGGTGGGAATCGAACCCACGACCGCGGCGTGAGTCTCTCATGCTAACCACTCGGCTACCGCGGTCCCCGTATTTATGTTTGTACTTATAATCGATAAAAATTAAAAGCAATTCTACTGCAATTAAGAAAAACCGAAATAAATTAATGACCAAAATGACGTTAATGTCTTGATAAATGTAACATTGAAATTGAGAGAAAATTGTGTAACATTCTTACAGCTATTTCCTACTTACTTATGAATAAAACCGTTGAACAACACAAGGGGTAACTATCTACGAAGCTCTCGATAGCTCAAGTGGTTAGAGTAGCGGCGCGTTGAGCCGAAGGTCGTGGGTTCGAATCCCGCTCTTGACACTAACTTTTTCATTTCAAACAATACCTTTCATAAAAAGATTAATTATTGAAAGAAGTTATTTGGTCAATCAGACCACCAAGGATTGGTATCTACGAAGCCATAGTAATGGACTTCAAATTGCAAATGCATGTTGCTATTCCCTAATAGCTACATATATTTGTTCCAGTATGCAGTGTAATTGTATAGTGTCTTTTTCTTTGTCATGAGGTAGTATATAAAATAATATAATGTTCTTTTTGGTGTATCAGAAAATTAGTGAACGATCTTTTTTTTTTTGTTTCGTCCACACTTAAATATGGTTGAATTGAGGTTACCAAATTTCCCAAAAATTGAACGTTTTTTTTCTTAAGTTCGATTGAATACAGAATAATGAATATAATCGCATTTGTGTAACGTAATCTGACGAGAATTAGGTGGGCGTGAGTCTAAATCCGGACAGGGCGTCAATGCAAATGCGGGACCTAGTATAGTCGTGATAATTTCTACGAAGTCTTGGCCTAATCTTGAACCCCTGGCCTGTTCAAAAAGTTAACATAAAACTTACTGAACACAACAAAATAATTGTTAGTCGAAATATTTCTAATTTGATTTGATACTGATTTGTTTCCTTTAGCAGAAAGATGTTATTAATAGTGTTAGCACTTTTTCAAACCACATAACTACCCTCTAGCAAAACCACTTGGGCAAAGTTATTTTTATTCTTTTTTCTCATAAAATTATCATATTTGTAGAACATTTAGCTTATTAGGTAAAGTTTAAGAGTCAAGCCTACGACCTTGCGCACCGCGATCAATATGTTTCTATTGTGCTATTTCTATTATTATCTAGAGCTATTAATCTTAAGGATTTTTATCAGATCCTAAAGATTTATGAAGGGCTACCATGTCTGTCACAATGTTCTCAACATTCCTTTTGTAAACAAACTGATCCGATTCCGTTTCAAAAAGTTGCACACAAAGTCCTCGATCCATCCTAACCCCTAGCCCGGTCAAGCCTATTCCACTACACCCATGCCAAGAACCGTCCAGATCTAGCCAGCTACCATTATTTTTTCTCTAACAAGTGTCCTGCGGGTATGTGCTAGCCATAGTTTCAGTTTTGACCTGGAGAAAAAGAGACATATACGCACATATGTATAACATATACCTGGTAGCGTGTTTTTTTATTTGAAATTTAATCAGTCTTTTAGCGGCGCGTTTAATTTCCTTGTGAGACCTAGGTTTTAGAAGGGATGCCCATTTTTATGGTGTAACTTGTTTTACCAAAAATAACACAAAACCAGAACTATCACTTTTATTATTGAAAATCAGACAGGAGTCAAGAAAAATCTTTTTGTGGCATTTTGGGTGTACAAACGCCGTCTGATGTTTGTCGCTTGATGTACTACAACCGAAAGACATGCCAG